TTGTGCATCATAAAAAAAAAAACAAAACAATTACAACTAACTAAAATAGTCTCCGAACCCCCAAGAAATATCCCCAGAAAATAAATTGTGTAAGATAATCAGTGCAATTTTCAGAAATGATTTTGCCCCATCGAATGAATAATAATTAATTGAATAGAGTGTAATAAAATTTTCAATCCATATTAAATGCTAATTACCAACAACAATTGTTTTACATCTGCAATCGGATGCGTTTGAATGATGCATGAGTCAAATAATTTTGCCCCACAGAATGAATAATAATAAATGATTTAAATGGGGTGGAATTGATTTCAATGGGGAAAAATAAAACTGAAAATCTGAGCATTTTTGAATTTCCTGGAGATATGGTTAACGCGTGCCGTTACGGTTGGGCATCTAGGATGCATCTGGTATTGAATCAACCCACGAATTTCAAAGGTAAAATAGGGTGAATTCCTCGGGCCAATAGTAACGCTGGATCACGATGCGTGCGCATAACAAGGGTGGAGCAACGAGTGGTTAAAATTATTGTGGTAGGGATAAATAATAGAGGGGGATAGGGGAAATAAGTAACCTACAGCGCAGGGCGATTTCCCCAGAAATTAGTCAACACTCGACGACGAAGTGAGCAAATTGGTGCGCTTGCGTGGCCTCTGGAGGACGAATAAGCCGTCAAGCTCATGTCCTCCGGGGCCCACGCAACCCTCATCCCCTTCGTCGGCGAAATTCACCGTCATCATCTGGAGGAGCCATCGAACTCACTCGACACTTTTTCTCGACCATCTCCAAAGAATTTTCCCATCGGTAAGTTTTTTTTTTCAATCAATTCCAAAACAATTCATCACCTAACTAACACTTTTCAATATCGACCTAATTATCGATTCATCTCGAGAATTATCGATTCCACATAAAAATATCACGAGATATTTTTCATCGATCATTGAATGCCCGAGAAAAAAGATCTCTTGGAATTTTCCCGTGAAATCAATAATTTATGGATTAATCGATATTTCGTGGAGTGGAGATTTTTTTTTTATTCGAGATTTTTCAAGTTGTAACGTTTTAATTGATTTTTCGGTTTTTTTTTAATTGATTGCAGATTCCATTGACGATCGGGGGAGGAGTGTTTCCCTTGGAATCGAGAAGAATTCTCTGTTGAAATTAAGAGCACAATACGTACAAACAATCATCGCCCACTGTGGAAAAGGGATGGATGGAGCATCGAAATTCGAGACGACCCAGAAATCTGAATAAATCGATGGATTACAATAATCACTGGAGCCTCAAAAACCAATAAAAAAAAAATAGTGATTCCAACTCCTCGACTCATCACCGAAATTCTTCCCAGGACGGATTGACGCGTTTCATCTGTGATAACTCAGTGAAAGGTACGACTTCTCCATAAATCGTGAAAAAATCATAAAAATGTGCAACCAAAAAAACCATAAAAAAAATCCAAGAGTTTGCTCTAGTCATTTCGAAAGCAAGTGGACGCGATTGCCCTAGCTTTATTTAATATTAATTAAACAGACGAGTGAGATTAAATTAACGAAAAAAAAAATCAAAAATCTATTAACTCCTAAGAAGTCTCTGATGGCAAGGAGAATAAAATAATGGAAAGTAATTGAAGAATCTAGTCACGCCAACATTAATCTAGTCAAGAAAATGAAGAGTCAAATATCCTAGCAACCTAGTCACCTAATTATACCAGAGATATATCAAAAGAGCCCAAAGACTTGATTAGCTCCTAAGATAAGAGAATTCCATACCAAAACATTCCGAGGATATGTCCGAGGACAGTAATTAGTTTTTAAAGATAAAAGTCAGCAGAATTGGTTTTTTCATAAAGAAAATTGAATTATGTACAATCCATACTGTCTTTATGCAGGCCGAATAAGTATGCAATTAGATTAAACTGACAAATTATTTTGAAATCAACACAACGGCTAAAAATCACTGCCCGTGGATCTGATGCCATATATAAATTAATTAGATTAATCGTAGACCTAGTCACAATAAATTATTCGATCTAGTCAGATTTAATTAAGATTGGGAAACGTGCCAGTATTAATAATTAATGAAATAAATACACGACCAGTCAATCAACAAGTCAATTTTATTTATTTCATTAATTAAATAAATTATTCCTAGATAACTATTGAGACCCTTCGTGGCAGCTAGTCAGTGAAATTTAAATTATACTAAAAATTGCAAAATTCTAGTCAAGATGATTATTCTAGTCCCACCATTACAGACAATACGAGTATTAGGGCTGTGCTTCGATAACCATTTTATAGTCACTCTATTCTAGTCAAAGAAAAATAACGAATAATATATTAACGAAATTATATTTAGCGATAAGTCCGCATTGAGGAGCTGCAGCAAAACCAAATTTAAAAAAAAACCAAATTACTCATAATATTCATAATAATTTCGAACAACTGAACTCATTAGAATAGAAAGTATCAGAGAAGATAGCATAGCTAATTTATTCTAATTTATATAAATTATATAAGATTATTTATTAAGAGTGGAATCTAGTCACGAAATCCATGGACAAAAACCCGAAAAGTGCACGAGCAAAAAGGAAATAATATAATCCCATCACGAATCGATCTGAACCAAAAAAATTACTAGCTTTGCATCATCACTGAGAAATTATCCAAAGAATGAAGAGATTTTATTGTGCACAAAGTAGGGAAATTGATCTCAGTCTGTGGGTACTCTAGTTATTAGTTAAGTTATCGTAAGGAATAATTTATCGTAAAGATTAATCTGCATTTAGCCATCAGCGAAATTTACTACTTTAAGAATTTTTTAGAAAACGATAAGATATTGTTAAGGACCTAATTATAATCCCATTATCTGATTTTTCGTGTGGAATTGGTGTTCGATTATATCGTTTGTCAATGTGTGTATTTTAACCGTGTGCCTATGTATTTTGTGGATTTCAATTTATACGTTTGTAAGAATAAATATATACGCGTGGAGATTTTTGTTTTATTCCCCCATCCCTCATTCCTCATCAATTCCCAAGGTCATGGGACCAGGCGAGGGAGAAACTCCAATTTTTTGGAGTCGACGACGCAATTAAAAAAAAGTTAAAGAGAGAAAAGTCGAATTTAATTATTTTGTTGAATATCGATTGATCAAAAAAAAATTATGATGGGCAATGTAATTGGCTATAAAAAAATCGTATTGAGTGTTCACGTTAAATCCATTTTTTATTCGACTTTTCTGACTTGAAATTTTTTTACTGGAATAAATTTTGAAACACTCACCACTCGCCTTCTGGACGCCGTCGTCGACGTTCACCACCTCCTGCCGAAGATCTGCAACACCTCCAGGTCTCCGGATCATCAGCCAAAAGTCACTAACACAGCACTTGTCACCATTTGTTTATAAACACTGACTCGACAATACTCGGCACTTCACCATTTTATTACCCGGACAAAACAAAACACCACCAGCGAACTCGAATAAAAAAAAATAAAATAAAGAAAATACCGAATCACACGAAAACAAAAACTCGCGTATTTGAGTCCCAAATTTTGTGTTCAATACTCGATTGAATTTAATATTCGACTTCTCGAATATAGTCTCGATATCAAAATGTCCGTGGGATTTCATCACACTCAAAAAAATCAAAAATGTCTCCCATTTGGCAAATTTCAGTTCTACTCACTTTTTGAATTTTCACAAAAAATCCGTTAGGTCCACAGTTCTACCAAGACCCGCGGGATGGTCTAAAAAATCAAGTTGGAAGAGTCCTCTTACGGTTTAATACTCATGTCGGTCACAAAGAACGGGAAACTTTTCACTGCCAGTTACTTCCACAAGCTCCCAACCATCGACCACCACCAAAAATCCCCTCAATTCGATAATAAAATCGTTGTACTACTTCACTTGGAATTAATTATCACGTTTCCAATAGTTATTCAGTCTATTCAGTCGTTATTTCCCTCGAGAAATGGAAATTGAATGTGAAATACACGATCTAGCACCTCAGAGCGGCCGCCATTTTATGGTATGCGCAGGACAATGACCGATGGACTGGATCTGATTTTTGGCGTTCGGGATTTATTCGTTCTAGCGCTCGTAATCCACCGCAATCGCCTTAAATTCCATGATATAATTGTTGTAGTCCGTCATTATCAATGAATTATGCAATTTTTATGAATTATTTTGCATATTTACCACTATTCCAGACGAAAATACCGGGACGAAGCGCCGAACGTGTCCGAACGTGTTTAGAGCCAGCCGCCATCTTGAAATTGATACACGCGCCACCGCATTCGATCCCCACCACAACCTGTTTTTGCATAATTATTCAGAATCTATCAGAGACACAAATTTTCTCAAGATAACTTAATTGTAGATTTTTTTACGCTCTACAAAAAAGTCTCATACAAAAATTATCATATCTCCTCCATTTTCTGAGATACGAGGGAAAATAGAGGATGATAAAGTATAAGGTGACTGCCAGTACTATTTTCAATGAGTATTAACCAAAAATTGGTGGAAATCATAGATTTTATTTTTAGAATCATTTGAGTATCATTAAACAACGTAAACATTCACAACAAATGGGCAATAGGGAGTGTCGTTTTGTCATTTTTTATTATTTTAAATAGTAATAATATTAAGAGAATAATAAGATATACGATATTGATAATGTATGCATCATCGCGTTGTAATTTTCATATTGAATAAATGTATGAGTAAGACTGCATTATTAACTTGATCATTTTCCCTCGATTAATCAACACCTCTTTACCCTACGCGATTAATGGTCAATTATAATAATGATGATGGTGACAATATTTTCATTATTATATCAATCGTTATTCACATACTGCGGTATGCGACACATGTGGTACATCTGTACATACCTATCAAATACATACGTATATATACATCGTGCATGTGTATATATGTATATGCAAATAAACAAATTATTATTTATAGATCTCTCATGCGATTATCCGTTCAATGGATCGTTATTTCCCGTTTTCTCTAAAATACTTTTCTTTCGTTATCTCTTATCTCTCGAAATTTTAGCATCGATTTAAAAACAAAATTCAATAGTCAAAGATCTTAGAGTTAGTAACAGTTCTAGTAATAGCAAACGCACGTTTATGTACAATTTCATAATTTTAAAATTGTCATTTCGTTTGTTACGAAGGGACAGTATGAAAATTTTTTCCTCGGCGATAGTAGTCATGCATTTTTTTGAATAATTATGCCAATTGTTGCCAGGTTTTATGGAGGATTATTGATGGGAATGAAATTTATGGGATTAAGAATAAATAAAAGGGATTCGAGATGAAGGAGGGCTGAGGGTTGTAGCAGACACCGACATATTAATTTTCAGAAGGATAATTTTGATGAAAAGGTTTAAGAGAAATTTGACAGAGCGTCACTTTGATCTGATGTATAAAAATGCAGAGAAAATTCACTAGGTTTCACAAGGCTAGGCAGAAATATCATAGATTATCTATTTATTTAGAAATCTCTAATAGTTTTTATATGAATATTCGAGACTGTCAGCCACACCCATTAAAATTCCGTTTAAAATCCTCTCGATATATAGAAAATTGAAAAAAGAGAGTGAGAATGAAAAGAAAAATGAAAATACGAGTTGTGAAATCAGATGATCAGATTCATGCCAGAGATAATCACTCGCCCACGTGCACCAAATATTTCATTTAGGCTTGAATCATTGAAAAAACGATATTCCCCGGAAGAATAAAAACCGACGAGTCGTCATAAAAAAATAACGAGGTGTCACTCACACTCAGAATCACTCAAACCAGATGAATCATTTAAAAAAAAAAATCACTCAACAGACGATTCCTCAATTGTCCATTGTACACCGTAATATTCATTATCATTTTAATTATTTATTTATTAAAAGGTTCATGAAGTTTTAAATGTACAGACGAAAAAACAAGGAAGTGAGTCAGAAAGTTTACCATAAATTTTCTCCCAAAACGTTTTTCATTTCTCAAATTTGATTATCCCCAATCATAATTCTGAATTATTTTTACCTAATTTGCATGATAAATACAATCACATGACGTTGCAATATATGTTTTAAAGTGAAATTCAGCATTACTCATATCTCAACTCAAAATTCATTCGTTAACTATTTCATTTCTCCAGCTTTTATTATAATTATTTTTTTTTTCCGATAGAGATATTAATGAATATTAATGATAATAATTATCAATAATAGGTAATTTATATTATGATGATATACGCACCACCCATACATATCTACAAATACACATATACATGTGTATATATATACATATGAATACTCGTATATTTATGGCATAGATATATGTATATGTTCACAGATATGTACGAATGTTGCATTTACTCACGTAAGTATTTATATACGCATATATATATACACATTAATGTATATATAATGCTGATCATCATTCTTTCATTTTCTTTATATTATATTATGTAATTTTTTTTTATTATTTAACACATGTTCTTATTTTGTTTTTGTACAAGTAAATCAATTAAGAATAAGTACAACTTGGTAGCAAAGAGAGATAGAATTATTCATTATTATTCATTATATAATTATCATAGTGAAGAGACAGAGTGAAAGATAATTCTTTATATATTTTTTTTTTGTTATTTAATTCTCTTATTCGCATTTTTTTTTCTGCTTATTTTCCACTTTATTCCTCGGTACGTTTTATTCATCTTTTAATCGTTAAATTCAGTGTCGCCCTACGACGCGAAAGGGATCTTTGCCATTCAGTGTTTTATTTTTTCCACTTCGTTATTTAATTACCGTGATTAATTAACATTAATAATGAACAGTTAATTTTGCTTTGGCCTCCAAAACGACGGAAGCACCACTCTGGGGGAAAAATTATTCAAAGGGTAGAATATTGAGAGAAAAATAGTGAGAGTGGGATTGACAAATTACGACTAAACCTTATGATTCCTCATGACATTGTGCTTGAGAGTCTTACGTTACTTATTCACTCAATTATTTAATTAATTCATCGGCAAAGAATCCACTTCCGGTGTATATAGAGGTACAGGCGACACCCAGGGAGGGAGAGAGTTTGTTTTTTTTTTTGTTTTAAATATATTTACTTTACTTTATTTTATTCATCATTTTTTTTTGGTGGCTGAAATCCACTTTTATTTCTTATCCTCAATAGCAAGAACACACATTAAAAATCATAAAAGATTCAACGCTATTATGTTTTTTTTTGTTTTATCATTTAATTTTTATCTGCTTTCATATTTATTTTCACCATCCCAATATATTCTCTTGTAACCGTTTTATTTGTTTATCGGTCCCCCAACCTCTCATCGACAACTCCCCAAAAACTTTCATTCTTAATTTACCTATAACATGGCTCGATAAATTCGTCCATAAGAAATAACCAAATTCCCTTGTATTCCAGATAAAACGTGCGATTAAATAAATTTCCCATCTCCATTGAACCAAAACAGGGGCCACATACCCATTATTCCTCCCCCCACCAAATTCAAAACCGAAGATGTCATGGCTCATCATTAATAATAAGATAATTTATAATCCTCACCCTTCCTTCGCGCTATCTTCGTTTTTTTTTTAAATAATTGTTTCATCTTAATCGAGATTCAAGTTTATCCTACAATCACTATCGCTACACGCCGTCTGGAGGCTCGAGGACAACAAATAAAACAACAACTGTTATAACAATCACCCATAACGATACATCTAAAACGTATTCAAGGAATTAATAGAAAACCTGAGATTGACATCGTTATATTGCACGAGATATTCATGCACAAGTTGGGGTACTGCATGGACTAGATTGACTAGATCTCAGAGGAATCAAAAAGTTACGAGATAATGGGAAAAACAAAACTATCCACCTGGCAAGATTAAAAATCGTATAGAACAGCCCAAAGTGTCAATTTAATCTGAGAGAGCTATTCACATCCTCAACTGTCCCATTTCCATGAAAAATAATCGAAAATATGAAGAAAATAAATCACCACCTCGAGCTCCAAACGACGTCGAGTGATAACTCCCATAGAATTTAAAATTCATTCCATTATAATCCTTTAATATACGTGAAAATTTGGATGTTATATTAATACGGTAATAAACCCACCATAGGGTGCACGATTAATTCTCTCAGGAGTGTTCGCAATATGTGAGTGAAAATTGTGTTAATTAATTAGTATTAAATAGTACTCTCCCTGCACATTCCATCATCATCTCCAATTTTTTTTTATTTCTTCCATTTTTTTTTTCATTTTTAAAGTAAACAAAAGAGAAAGAAGAAAAACGAAATATTTCACCGTACGTTATGGCAGACCAGCTGCGAGTAGACGGTGATGCCTCCCACACTCGATTCTCTCTATCTCATTGGCATTTTAATTATTTCATTTTTTAATCATAACGGGAGTTATAGCTCTTTACTTGATAATCCACTGAAACTTATGATTCCCATAATTCATTTCTCCCTCGTAATGTTAATATTTCTATCCGCTGGGTGGGTTAATTCATGATTGTTCAACGTGGGCGTTGTTCTCTCTTGCTTGAATCACACGCGCATGCCCCAAATGTTGTCTCGTTCATTCCTCATATATTTTTTAATCCTTACGTATCAGCAATACTCAATTATTCATCCACATCCTGACACTGGGCCCCTCCACATGTGATTGCCCATCATTCTAATCTCCCTCAACCATGTTGTATTTTTTTTTTATCTTTTTACCATTTTTTCTCTCAATTAATTATGCTTTACTCGGCCCAATGAACTATTTCTAATCCAGGGGGAAGTGGGGAGACGATCAATGCTTGTAAAATTGTGATTTGGCGACCTAGACTGGAGCTTAATCCCTTGCAATTGTCACCTGAGAAATGAAATATTGTTTAATGTGGGAATTTCAGAGTGGGAAATGTGTTACTTACCTCGATATTGGATCCTTATGAGACTCACGAATGGGGTGCCTGGGCACAATGTTCCCGTTTCTCTGACGTAGTTGACGTTGGTGTTTTTATAACGGGTTTTTCTTCACTTACTGGTGTTGGTGGTGCGTCTTTTCGTGGTGGCATTCTCTCGTTAATGGCATCCAGACCTTTAGCCTCAGCGAATGATGTGATTTTGTGATTCGGTGAGAATCCTTGGAGTGCTGCGAGTTATTTGAAAAAATACGTAAAGATATTTCCGAGTTATTATAATTAATTACGATAATTAATAGTAATCAAAGATTTTACCATTCTTCAGGGATGTTTTTCCACCGGATAGGGCACCCAGAGGTAGAGCACCAGTTGGTGTGAGGCCCTTGAGCTGCAGGACACTCTCACTCTCTTCCCTACAATTATTTGTTATTGAAATGGGGGATCGGGTGGATTGGCAAATTTTAATTAGTTTATTCAATGAATTATTGAGCAATCACCTGAGGACAGAGAAGACTCGAGCCATTTTTCCAATAGCTCGTATCTTATTCCTGATAACTTCCTTTCGTAAGTTTGCTGCTGCACCTGCGACGAATCATCATGAAATCATTTTTAACTGTTCGACACCCGACAAATAATTAACTAGCACACATCGAAGCACGAGGTCAATCAATCCAACGAAAATCAATGTTTACATCGACTCTGAATAAACACAATCCCAATGCACATTCAATTCATCATTGATTGCCCTCGATTGTCCAGCAATAAATCCACAATTATCATAATACCAAATAATTCTAGATCTAAGTCTCACATTAACAATTTACTTATTTATTCCGTTGTTCTTGTTTTCGTCGTTCTCTTCACTATTCTAACAATATTGTGTGCACACTTGTGTTGGAGTTAACAGCGGTTTTAATGTAAAATTTTTATCGCCCGGAAAATAAAAAACGGTGCGTACATTCTTTGGAAGCTGCACTCGAGTGGAAAATTGAAAAAAAAAAATGCTATTAATGCAAAGCATGCGCATGCAGTTTTTTTTTTTCATAAAAAAAAGGTGGATTTCTTTTCTCTAGGCATTAATAATTGATCCATCATACAGCGATTAAGGTATGATTTATACATTACCGCGTGATAGATCGCGATTTCGCTGAATCAACGAGCGAAAAGAAATTATTTCGTCGGATTAATTTATTCCCGGTCAAGCCGATTTTCACTGGCGAATGGTTTTTCATTAATATCTCGGAATCCGGCGCCGAAATCGAAATTTCTGTGGATATCTTTTTTGTAGAGTCAATTGAGAGCTGCAAAAAGTGTTACTACGAAAATTTCGGTATCGATCTTGGGTTGCGAGATATCCACCGAGAGCTCGGGTAGTCTAAATAAATCGGTTCGATTTCGAAAAAAAAATCTATCCTCTTTATTTTTTGTAGGTGACCGGTATCAATTTCGATTGATCCCCCGAAAGGAATGGGGAAACAATAGACAACGAGGTAGTTGTAAAAAAAAAATCCGAGGGATAGTGATATACGATAGAATCGGATCAATCTACGCACGTCGTCGAGAATGCATCCGAGCGGTGGTTCCGGGGTCAAAATAGGCGTTTGTCGAAATTCAATATCCCTTCGGTGTAAAAGAGGAATTGAAACAAATAAATAAATAAAAAACCACTAGTCACCCGGGAATCATAATAAACTCGTGCTGGCTTCATGCGTTCACTAGGTGTTCCTCGAAACCGATAAAATCGCCATGTTGCATTGGCAAAAATTAATTCGCTAAATACAACTACCCCACTGGTTTAACTCTTCACATTTTGATATTCTTCAATCACTCGAGGCCACTCGAAAAACGTGAAACTCACCGGAGATTAAACCACTCAATTCACCTCTGCGTATCTCGCATTTTCATTTTTTTTTTCATGTTCATTGAATATTTTTTATTTCAACAGGGGAATCACCATGCGTTCCACGTTATTCGAGAGCCAGTGGCAGCCATATCGCGTTGGCTATTTTATTATCTTCATTTAAATTATGAGACCTCGGGATTAAAAAGAACTACCGAAATGCGATGAAAATTTTGCTCCAGGAATTCTCAATAAAAAAATGGAAACATCTGTAAAATGACTTGAAAAAATCGTTCAGTTTGCAGAAAAAAGACAAAATGAGTTGACAGTAATCGGAAGGCTAATAAATTATTTTAATGATCGTTAAAAGTTCGAGGTAGCGATGCGGCCATTTTGGGAATTCCCTGCGGTCCTCAAGATGGCGTCGCCCACACTCGTCTGCCACCTCGCATTTTTGAATATTAATTAAAATTGTTTAAAGTCTTCAAATTAATTTCTACTCGCTCCTATCTGTTTCTATGCAGTGAACAAACTATTTAAGCCGTATTTTAGAGATGCGTGCCATTTTTTGATTGAGATTTCGTGGTGGAAAGTCACCTCCGCACTCCAGTCGCTCTTTTTGACTCCCAAAACCTCTGAAATATGTTCCAAAAAAAAAAATTAAGCAACAGAACAACTCACCGTACGCGGTCAGTATTGGGGTCGTGTTTGGGTTGGACCACGTTGGATTACCATTGGGCCAAAGTGTTTATACGGTTGATAAACCGGATGGCGACGGCAACAGAACGGCAACGGCAGATTTTTTCGTGAGTTAAAGGACAGAAGTAACCACCAACATTATGAGAGCAGCGTCAATGCAGCCATTTTTTTTTTGGTTGTATTTTTTTTTAATTTTTAAATAATTTTCGTGAGGTTGTTTATTGGTTGATTGAAGGGTGATGGTGGTCAATAGGTGGTTATCGTGATGGTATGTAGTTTCGCAGGTTGAGAGGAGGCGACGATAGTAGAAGTGTAGTGGAAATAAAATATACACATAGAACAGAAAAATATTGTGCACTCTGTCAGTGGCATTCTCAAGCATATGTGCGATGAGCTTTAATATGCATTAATGCATGTACATCAGAGCTGAATAAATTTCGAACTCATGTCTTATGAATGGAATAGTATTCGTTAATTTTCAACGAGAGGAATATCATTTGCTATTCTATCTATTCAAGGGGAAAACTCTGAAGAACTTTTTTTTCGTCAACCAAATTCACTTTTTTAAGCTAATCAATGTTCAATAAAATTGTAAAACTAAATGCTGACTCTGAGGTACGTGCGGATAGCATATAAAATCCTCACCAAGATTTACAATAATTGAATATTTCCATTAGGAAAAAAAAAATGAAGAATGAAAGCTACAAATTCCAAATTCAGCAATAATTTTCTTTTCCATTCGTCGAAATGGACCTCAAGCTAATGACTGTTATATACACTGGAATTCTAAGAACGGGACATTAGTTAATGGAGATGTTCCTTTTTAATCATCTGAACGACTCACTAGCTGCGTTGAATTTGGACTTGTACCTTCAAGACATGTTCAAGAGGACATTTTCACCCATTACTGCTCTCGTTAATTAACAATACAACTTATTTCACTTCTACCCATCGTCGTCACGAAACCAGTAGAGGCCTCCAAGCTTAAATACGATATTCATTAGAACATCAAGATATCTACCATGAAAAACAAAAAAAAAAAACAAGGAAACTGAAAGAAATAAGTTTTGAGTCGGATAGGAGTTTGAAAAAGCACTCAGGATTTTTCATGTACATATATCTCTCATTGGACTTTCCTCTCGTGGAAAAATCTAGAATAACGATAGAGTTCGACTTTAGTATTCCTCCCCTGAAAAATAAATGCATAAAACTACTGGCTCTCGAAATCAAAGTGACTCGTGTATTCCTAGGGCAGAGGGTTATTCTCATGTTCAAGTAGAGATAGGAGGCGAAAAAAAAGGACTCGTAAATCAAATAACTTCAGTGTTTGAGAGACAGATATACCAGGGAGTGTGAGTAATGGAAAAGAAAAGTCTTGGCAGCATCCAAGAAGTGCTTTCAGCTAGATTGAATATGAAAAATCGTAATAATTACAAAAAAGGTAAACGAAAAATTCATATCCAGAAGTTAGTAAAGCCTAGATGAGATAAAATTCACTCATTGATTAAAAAAACAGAATGGAAAAATGTAAAAAAAAAAACCAGGGCTAAAGGGGAAAATGGAAAAAATGAAAATGGGATAGCATACGGCTCAACTCCCAGAGGACGCGTAGGATTGTATCCCGAGCACTCGGGCAAAGTAGAGCTAAGTGAGGTATGTGAAGTGGAAGTGACGTAGACGATTCGCTCGTCGTACCAAGGAAAATGGGCAAGTGAGGTACAGAGAGATGAAGGAGGAATCCCGGGATTTAAAGGGGTATATCGTTGATCGATGCCTCCGCACTGGAGGTTTTTTCGTCTTATCCTGGAGGGTGAAGGGGCTTTCTCAGAGGGATTCAATCGATTACAGCTCATTCCCCTCTTTTTCACTCATTCTTCCCTTCAAAGAACCAATCAAGAAACTATTTTTTTCAGTTTGCAGAGGAATATTCAAGAGTATTCAAGAATATTCGTGTGCACAGACTGTCCACTGGGTTCAAGTTGTCGTAATGACACTTGAGAAAATTTATGGCTCTTTTACGGGGATGTAAGAGGGCCTCAGTGAGTTTTTAATTGATAATTAAATAAAATGTTAAGGGATGCTCAAGGAAAGAGATGGAGATAATCGTTAATTTAAAAAATCAGCCAAAATCGGTATTAATTTATGGTGAATGATAGTGTTGTCCTGTGACTTGTGTCAAGTGGAGAGGAATGATCGTACGTTTTTTGGATAGTGTGTGAGCCATTTACGCGTGCAGCTGTTGTGGGCACAATTTGCCAACGATAATTAATGCGACGATAAATAATATCTAATAGAGAAATCAAGGACAAACGTCAATGGTGGATTTCGAATTTAATTAATTGCGAAACAGATAGAAATAAAAAACAAGAAGAGACGACTGTAAACTGTGTGAGGCCCTTGTCACCTGCTGTTTACATTGATTTTAACAATTTCTGGCGTCCGGCCAATTAATTCAAACAATTCCCCAAAAATCCAATAATTAACAACTGAATAATCAATAACTCAGTCGGAAATTAATGGAAATTAAACAAAAAATCATGAAACCATGAGATATTTTTTCACATGAAAATTCATAATGAGGGCAACAGCAAGTCCCAAAAAAAAAAAAAAAATCACACAGTTTACTCTAGTCCTCGAACGCGTCGTCGGGTTAATGAATTAATAAACTTTCTTCGTCAGTAATTTGTTGTTTAAGTGAAAATAAATTTCAATCTCAGCCTAATAAACAAAAAAAAAATGAGAAAAATAAAGAAACAAAACGAAAAACCGTTGATTTAATAATCACGTTAATTTGCATCAATGTAAGTCTTCAGGACCGGACTTACCATTTTTTTTTTGTACAACGACTTTGGCTGCAACTTAATGGGGTTGGAGTTTGGCCGTATCAACGGAGTATTGAGTAGTAGAAACAGGTAGAAGATAGTAGTAGCATAGTGTCGTGCCGATATAGGAGGAGTCCAAGGCCAGTGTGATTGACACAAATATAATAGAGAAGGAGTACGATAAAAGATAGTCAGTGCAATTTTTGGTGGGCTATTGTGTAATGAAAAAAAAATATTAAACTGATGATATAAAGGAAAAAGTCGGAATGATTAATCGTACAACAAATTGATCGATCCAACGAATAATCGGTTAAACTCACTCTAAAGTTCTCATTGTTGTTTACCTCTATCAGAAATAAATTTCGATAATGAGGCACTCAGATAGTGCGATAATGTACAACTGGAGAACTTCATGAAGTTTAATCAAACGAATGTGAATGTGAAATAATATATTCTTAAAGAGGAATGAGAACACCGAGGTAATGGTACATCATCTAGGTGACAAAAGAAATAAGAAATAATGGCTCGTGTTATGGGGCTTGAGCCAATGAGAATAGATGGGAGATAAAATCTGTTGGTAATACAACGAAAAACAAACGTGATAAACTAATGAAAGAACGAAGACAAAATGTATCGAGTAATGAGGAGAAGCTATCGAAGATCGTAATTGGAATAATTCACTTATTTTTCCCTGATTATTTCTTGAGGGATGAGATGTCGACGTTTGATGAAGAGGAAAATTCGACAGGAACACGTAATAATAACGAATAAATATAAATACTGCCAAGTTGATATTCACACTTGTCTATCATCCATCGGATCGACTATAAAGTGCAAAGTGATGGCTATAAAAGTTGAGTGAAAAATAAATAAACCAAGTTCATTACCCAAGGGGAGGTAAAATGCTTGCTCTGACGAAGCAGAATAAACAACTCGTGATATAAATATGAAGAGTAATAAAAAAAAAAATTTAAGTGAAGAGACTACAATGAGCGAGACACATAACGAGAAAGAGTTATGAAAAATATACATGTATGAGCGATAAATGATCTATGCGGCATGTACAGATGTTTGGAGAGGTACAGGAGGACAGGAGGGGATGTGGTGATAAATTGATGGGTAAATCGTATTAAATACGATAATTACTGATTCAAGAATGATAAAATAAGCTCTCAATAATATAGGAATTATCTTCCTCCTGTGAATGAATGAAGTTCTCTTACCATCTGTCCATGTCAGCGTATTAATATGAAAACAGAGAAATTCCATGTTTAGAATTTGACATAACGATTCGTTATGAATAATCACGAGGGTACATTAATTTATTAATAGCTCGAATAAACAATGAGCAGTTGTTGAATATTTTTAGATAAATTTGAGTTGCATGTGGTGCTGTTAAATCACGTCGAATGAAATAGGTATTTCAATGAAGCCATGAAAATCTCACTGCAACTTGGAAAATTAGTCGATGAGATTCCCATGGTAAAATTGAATGGCGTTTTAACGGTCCAGTGGAATTTTCGCAATTTCAACAGACACGCACAGCATTTCACCGGATGCATTAATCCAATCGTTCATCTGATGAACGTGCAATTGCTGTTTTTCCAGATACAATTTTTTTTTTCAATGATACTTCAATCTCGCGGCAATCTCTCACGATGAGAAATTGATTATTAAAATGACTGAGACACGGTTGGGGTGGGAGGATGTCAATTGAGATGATAAATTCTGAGGGATAATTAGAGAAATGGTCCTACCTTCTTCGAGGGCGTCGTCTCCTTCGCTCATGAGTTCGTCGTCCGAGCAAATGTTGAGTACATTGACCAGCATCTCCGTGACTGAAATCCAAAAGTCAATGAGTCATTGAATTTAATTATCTGATACATATTTTTTATTTTTCGTGCTGGATGTACCTTTTTCACCGACAAATGGCAAGGACCACGTGAATACATCCATGAAGTTGGGTAGCCAGTAGGGATGTGGTGAGCAGTTGAATTGTCTGATGTTCATCACATTGTTCTCATATTTGAGCACAGCCGCCTGCGAGGATCACAAATTAGAAGCAAACATATACATCAATTCACAAACATTTATACCACATGAGAGAAACAGTGAAATTTTTCAGGCGTAAAAGGTCATCCAGACCTTTTTTATTGCTGAAAAATAATCCAATGAATTTTAAATAATTCAGTTTATTCGGATTGAAAAATTTTTTTTTTTAATACAATTTTCTCCTATCCGGGTAAACGAATAAATGAATAAAATATTATTTCCATTAGTTTCAAATAAAATTCCTACCTTATTATTGTACACATCGAGGTAGTTTGGTGCACTGAAGATGGTGATAAGCGATGGGAAGCCCGTCGTTTGCGACTTACGGTACATACGATATCCAGCATCTTGTGCCTCGTGTGCCCTAATAATGCTCAAGAGACTGTTGTTTTGTAGAAAGTCACAACACGCTGCGTAGCTGAAGAATAAAAAATGAACAACACAAAAAGCATTAAAGGGTCGCCAAAGAGCTGAACAATTTGAATGGTAGAATTCTCTTTGACCTTCTCATTACACACCGTCGAGTGGAAAATGAACATCTAATTAGTCATGTCGGACGAAAAAAAAAAATATATATCTATATATTAAAAAAACAGAAAGGAGTGTATAGAGTATGACGATAACTATTCGTCTGTGGGCATTATAATTTTCCAACGATTGAACAATCTGAAAGCACCTTATCACCTTCAGAGTAAAATTATTCCACTCCAACTATCGTGCTAGTGCAACTTCACCAGATTGACCTCGCGTGCGTTATAGAACACGACGAGATGCCTAGATGCCTAGCACCATCAACCGATCGTAAGGAGCTTGTGGTCAATAACTTATAATACTTTCAAAATTTTTTATTATCAAATTGCTGTATTTAATAATTACCTGTAGAAGTACGAACAGCCTCTGACACTGTTGTGAGAGAAATGCTCAGCGTTCTTCTCATTACCAAAGTCTTCAAGAGGATCTGACCAGAGGAGATCGCACATTGGTCCAAATGCCGGTGGCTCTTTGAACCTGTCCAACTGAAAATCAAGATTAATCATTGATCACTGATCGATTACCAATAACTCTAAAACGCTATGATAAAATTCCACGAGTCCTCCGCCATTTTAAAGATATTTTTACAGAGAATAAAATGAATGCAGCCTCGACGAAATCGCATGATCGGTTCCGGTGATATAGTGGAGAATCGTACGCCCCATCAAATCAATCCCCATTAATTCATCAATTATCGCGCCCCAATGTAACACCAACGCACCGCGAATGCACGCACATTACGTGGTAATGAGTACTTAGTCTCCAGTGTCTAATGACATCTGCCAAACACAAAGCGCCACCCCCTACCACCCACCTCACCCCCGCGAATATTGACTGGTGACTAAACTTTGAAATTCAATTTCGCAAAGTTAGAAATACAATTCCCCTAGGCTGAAGAATGAAACTACAAGAGGTCTTTCCAACAAATGCAAATATTCACCACCCAAGGGAGTAAAAAAGCCCAGAATCCAGTGCTTTCATTCACCCATAGGATCAATTTCACCGTGCAAATTCATAAATCCGTAAATGTTATTGATGATGCTGGATTAACTACGTTATACCAAAGATATAAAAAAAAGTATGCCAGTGGATATAAAGCGACTCCATCCACCGATTCCAATATAAAGTAGAGGGCTAACCCGTTGGAAAAAGCACTGTGTACACGTTCCAGTGCTTTACCATATGCAATTCGAATGAGGTCGACTAGGGAGGATTTACCCCACCATCTCCAGCCACGTACCAATCCGATACCTCATTTTTTTTTCTTCTCTCTCTCTCACCCCTCAAAATTTATCTCTCGGTGTATGAAAAATATTCAATATCCCCGCAAACTTGAATCTCAAGACATGACCAGGTGTTTAAATAAAATGAGAAACCAGGTTAATCCTAAAGACACTCACCCAGTGTCAAGATAACTTGGCAACTTTCGAGTTGACGTAAAATCACTGTTCCCTCGATTCATAAGGTTTCATCAGTTCGTTGCATGTGCATAATGGCTATTTTGAAAGTTAAATTCATCATCCAGAGGGTGGAAAATTTTTGAATTATAATATTTTGATAAAATTATTCGATTCGAAGAAGCAATTTTTCCTGGTAAATGAATTATCAATTAATTCAACGTAATTAAAGAATTAAAGAAAAATCCTCCGGAAGCAGGGGACGGAATCGTGAAGAAATGAAAATTTCATCGGTTCATAAATAATCGTGCACTAGATTAAGAAAAGTTGCTCCATCAATCCGGAAAAGCCGTTGAATTATATTCACCAAAAGAAAAATTCAAGGTAATCCGAGGAAAACTGAAATTTCATAGAATTTATCGAATTGCGCGTAATATACCGGTAAATTCAGTAATTTCCTCAAGAACGCGTCATTCAATTTCTCTCGAGAAAAATCCGGACAACTCCCTGACAGAAAAAAAATATATTAATATAATTAGAATATATTTTAATATATTGTCTTTCATGTGGAGCGACATCGTTTGAGGGTGAAGAATCTCTAGTTATATCTAGCCCGTGATATTTCTCTGTACAAGTTTCAAATGTAGTTGGGGGTTTATACGAGGGTGCAGAAGGGGAAGGTGTGCTAACATATAACCGTAGGTGGACGATCGATAGAGCAGGTGGCAGCACATTGGGCAACCTCTCCCTGGTTTTGCTTCCGTTTCTCCAGTGAATTCTCTGATGGATGGAATTTCAGAGGGATAAGCCAGTAATTTGAATTTTTTTTTCCCTTTCTCCGGGACTTAAAATTCCAGGAGCGAGGTAAATCGAGGGATCCTGGCTTTTGCCAGTGAGTTATTTATTCGCGCTCATGTTGACTCAACTCTGAACCAGGCCCAGAAGATCATTGAGGGGGAACAAGGGGATTAATCCAGTGTTGAGGTACTTATCGTCTTACCTTTCGGATATCTTCTAAGTGATGAATTTCCGGTGATAGGCCACCGTGTACGCAGAGAAATTGCTGGTTCATCAGGGCAGCTAGTGGTAAACAGTCGAATGCGTCCATACATGCATCGTAAACCCTTTCAGAATACTTTATTTTACCTGGAAACAGTGAAACATTCGATTGCTTGAAATGGTGGAAAATTATTCTTGAAATTTTGAATAAAAAGTTGAATTTTTTTTGAGTATTCGGTGACGAGTCATTTAATTTCTTGAATACTTCGATTTTTAATGAAAATTTTGAGAGTTCAAAATGAATTATTATTCAACATGAAGACCCAATTTTCTGGAGTTTTCTGAAATTCCCCGAAAGTTTTAGGCCTTCGAAATTTTCAATGACTCGTCTCTCGTATCCTCATTAAAATTCAAAATTCCTCATTAAAATTCACGCGATTACGAAAGGTAAATCAGACGGTAGAAGATAAATATTTCATTCTAATTCCATAAATATTGATGAGCTAAAAGTATTTTTCACTGGTCATTTGAAAAAGGAATAGATCTGTACATCTGCCGTTCCATGATTTTTGGTACGAGGAAAAATGGCAACTCGACAGGGGCTATTTCAATTATCTCTTGATTTAATTCAAGTGATTAATTTTCGTACGTGAGACCGAAAGGGAGAGCTTTGTACTAGATTTTTCTTTTCTGTTGTGATTTTTTCGGGGGGAATATTGCGAGATACATAAACTCCAATAAAACAGATGATTCAGCGGAATAAACCGGGTCGTTGGGATTTTCACAAACTAGTCTTCTCGTATTTTTTATATCCCGTCCATGCTCGGGTGCAAACAATCGCTTTTGGCTGGGGTATGAGGGATTACGAAAGATTCCACCCACTGTGGGTGTAAGCACGTGTTTAACTGGACCTCAGCCAAGTGGTACCAAGTTTCACATTATTCTGGGTCTTTTTTATTCAACTGAATTCTTCGGGACATTTTATCGAGTGAGTAATTCGAAATTCCCTCGGTTGAAAATTACGTTCCTTCAACAATTTCCCTTCCCTCAACGAATTCCCACGCCAAAGAATCGATATAATATCACTTTGAATAGTTCTCATGCATTTGACACCGCGATCGAAAGGAAAATCGCAAGAAAATCGAAAGAAAACGTAAAAAAAATTAATAATTCCGTTGCGAAGTGGTAAATTTGGTAAAGTCCATTTTTTCTCGGTGATTTTTCGTCGATATCTCGAAATTGAAAAATCATAGCGAAATTTTCGTGTAAATATTTTTTATAGAAAAAATTTAGCGCCACAAAAAAGATATTCATAAAAATTTCGGTAAGGCCCGTCAATTTCGAGATATTGACGCCGAACGAAAACGCGGTAGAATTTCGGGTAGGAAACTTGGAAAAATGCATTAAAAAAAATGTCCAAATGTGAAAAATGAATTTTCCATATTGATACTCACATTCTTGCTTAAATGTGAAATATTCTGTGAGATGCCTGCACTCGTGGTTGCCTCTGAGTAGGAAGAGTGTGGTTGGATGGCACAATTTCAATGCCCACAGGTACAGTACACACTGAAATACAATGAAAGAAATAATTAATGAGACCGCTGAAGAAACCATAACGTGAATTAATTGGCCGATGAACGCCCGACAAAGAGAATAGTCTGAAATTGAAACGGACTGGTGAGATGAGAAAAAGAAAAAAAAAAAGAGAGAACCCAGGGAATCGACAATTTTCCCAGGAAAAAGCCGAAAATAAATAAACGAATAAAATGGATGACAGGGTGATATCCCCACACGATTTGGATTTCATCCATGGCAGCTTTTCACGCGTCCCGAGACCGAGGAAAAAGGCACGAAAAGGGGATTTTCACTCGGATCATGACATCAGCTACAGTTTCAAATATCGTGGACTCATTTTCAACTGCTATTTCAGATAGTATTTCTCCATCAAGCTTTATCTACTAATTTTCGTTATTTTATCGTTCAAATAATAATTTCAATCTCAATCATCTACGAATAATGCGAACAAAATGCTCCATTGCGTAACCGACTGAAACATCTGGATTCAGTTGAGGCAATGGGCTATGGAAAAATAGAGTGATAAAAATTGGTGGGTGACCTAGCAATTTGCCTTCACCAGCGTTAACAGGTGTGACACGTAAACTATAACACTTGGCATCGTTAAATGAATTCAATATACCACCGTATTTTCAACACAAAATTCCCGCATTAAAATACCTATTCGTTTTTTTTTTAAACCATTATTCATCTTTGTGTGTAATTATTTATTAATCGTGTTAATAGTTGAGGGTTGAGAATTATTTCAGTGCGGTTTAACTTTGTTCACCTTGAATTCTACTCTCCGAATTTCAACTAAAATTCACATCTGCATTGCTATTATCTCTCGTTAATTAGTTATCCGCACATACCTCGATACTAAAATAGCCCCTGTCCACGTAATCCCCCAGGAAGAGGTATTTTGTCGTAGACGGTGGACCTCCAACTTCAAATAATTTCATGAGGTCGTAGAACTGTCCGTGAATATCACCGCAAACTGAAACAGATAATACAATAATAAATCATTCAACCATGCATTTTAAATTTTCAAAACTCCTTTATAATTCATATAATAAAAACAGGGATTGATAACTCTTGGATGATTTTATAATGATTTCATTCAGGGATTTATCCGGCTATTCAAATTTTTTCATCTCTCAATTAAATTTCGTCTTTTTTTTGGACTAATAGGTCCGCTACTCAGAACTCACGAGTTTTTCCGAGAATTTTCAAACAAATTTATTTTCATCGATTTTTGAAAAAAAAAAATTTTTATTAATTTTCGCAAAAAAATTATTTTCATCTCTCAATTGAATTCAATTTTTTTTTGAACTAATAGAGAGATCCGCTACTCAAAACTCATAAGTTTTCCGGAGAATTTTCAAAAAAATTCATTTTAATCGATTTCCGAAAAAAAAAAATTTTTATCAATTTTTGAAAAAAAAATATTTTTATCGATTTTCAAAAAAAAATTTATTTTCATGTCTCAATTGAATTCTTTTTTTTATTTTTACTGATAGAGAGGTCCGCTACTCAGAACTCACAAGTTTTCCCGAGAATTTTCAAAAAAATTAATTTTCATCGATTTTCGAAAAAAATATATTTTCATCGATCAAAAAAAAAAAATTATTTTTATCTCTCAATTGAATTGAATTTTTTTTCGGACTGATGGAGAGATCCGCTACTCAGAACTCACGAATTTTCCCAATAATTTTCACGATGGAAGATATCCCTCTAGCCATAATGAAGAAAAACCTATCCAAGAATTAAATAAATTTCTTTATTCCCCCTCCCGATGACCCTATCCCCTGTTACATGGAGAATTTTTTCCCTCCCTCGGAGCAGATGGTGCTGAACCGTAACATTCTTTGAGAATAATAGAGGACCACCGGATATTAAAAGCATCATCCTCAAAGCTCCAACTGCTTTTTTCGTCCCTCAAGATACCGCAATATTCACCAAGATTTTATATCCCCCCGAACACAACAGATCCAAATCAATAGAAACAGAGAATACGTTGGCAAGTGACAGTTTGCCGACACAGGCGCCAACATTAACGCTAATTGAACTCCGGTGACGCCTCAGAGGCGTCTACAATCCAATAAGCAACCTCAAGGATCACTGGTACATCAGAGGACTTCTCCCTTTGAATAAAAAATCATTAAACATCAATTGTCGACTTGTCAATTGATTTGTGGGAATTATTGGAAAGTCATTGGCAGTCGAGGAGATGATTTTAGGAATTGATTGCAATAGATTTATCGGCAGATCATTAAACCAGGAGTTCCAGAGAGTCTATAATTTGTGGAATAGAATTCTGACGATCCAATCATCATTATCTATGATTCGGTGGATTATTTTCTCGATTAGATTCTGGTCGTCATGATGTTTCGGATCATTGACGTTAACTTCTCGCAGCACTTGAATGTACTCCACAGCTCGGTGGGCTTGATGGTGATACTCCACCGCAATATCGAGTTGATGTGGAGTGCAATACGCCATAACTTCCGGGGGAAACCAGGCCATTTGTCGTAAATGATAAGTTAGTGATGGTAATAGTAATGCCAGGAATTATGGAACAAAAGGGCTGATGTAACCTCCAGGGTGATGAATATTTTACGAGTTTTGTTGAGGTATCCATATCGGGATGGGACCATCATCATCCTCGTAAACTTTGAAAAACATAAAATGAAGAACTGATAAGGCTCACTCGCAGCTGGTAATAACGCGTTACTTGAAGTGCGCAATGTTAATGAGGTAATTAAGAAACGAGGGAAATACCGGGATGATGATTTTTTCGAATTTTCTTGAAACGTGATTATCTCTCAACGAGTGGTTCTACGGGCAAAATCGTTGAGTACTTTTTTGTCGGGGGATTTATTTTCTGTTGAACATGTTTCTTGACGTTTTCTCATAAAACTTGTCGTTTGAGAGATAGACGGACTTTTGTGAGAGACGAAAAAGGAGAAGTGAGGAGATAGATTTCAGAGAGAAATCGGAGGGAGGAACTTCAATCTTCAATAAATCGAGATTGGTAGAGTGGAGTTGGCATTTCTTAAAATCATTTTCAAGGTGCTTTTTTCCGAGTTCAAAATGAAGTTGATTCATCGAAATCGGATCGTTGGATCGGTAGAGATCGGTGGTTAAATATTGCTCTCCGATTTAATTCCCGAGTTTGTGCTCCATCTCGAGAAAAACATGAATTACTTCTGTTTACTCTGAATACAAAGACAATAAGTCGACGAAAGTTTCGATAAGTACTGACCCGACTCCATCTCCTCGCAAAAGTACAACAGCGAAAATATTCCCCCCAAGTGACTATTCCAGGGCGCCAAACAAATAGACCCACACAAAAAAAAAAAAAATGGATAATTTCCCCTCGAAATGATCGATCGGGCATCGAAGGACATGACAACCATCATTTGTAATAATTCTGAATGCTCCCCAAAGAACAACAAACGTCATCCCCAATTATTCCCCCGGCCAATTACATTATCATCGGGGAAATAGCCACTGCCCCGCTAAATTAATTTGGTATCTCCCACCATCTGATGAACGCGTGGAAACATGACCAAATTGTCGACAACTGTACTGATGAGCGTGTTTAGTACCGCATAATACAATTGAATTGAACAAAAGGAGAGTGAGCAGTTCAGAGTCCCTTCCACCATGCATGTGAAAAAAAAAAAAAAATCGATGGAAGCCACGTGTGTGCCACCAAGACACATTCTACAATGTAGATAAGCCCGGGTATTGAATAATCCATTGAGGCTGTCATGAAAAATAATTAATGTTTTTTTTCTCTATCTCTCGGGAAAAAGTTGACGATTTTACGAACGACTGACTCTAAAGAATTTTCACAATTTACCATTATTCCTCGACCACTGGTTAAATCGATTGATTAGAGCTGAATGAAAAATTCTCTTTGGAAAATTAAAAGGTGAAATGGTGAAATAATCAATTTGAAAAGTGAATATTTTTCGAGTGAATGGGGTATGAGAGAGGTCTGAGTTTATGATCTGCGTGTATTGCATGGCTGGAGTATATTCGATATCGTTATCTCTCGTGTGGACCCAACATCTTGAGATTGAGAAAGCGCATGCACCCTTGCGTGATTTAATGTAACCCCTGGGTCTGACCCAGAGTGATCAGCCATGATGATAAAAAGAGGGGCTAAAAAATAGGTCCACAGAGGGTCATACATTGTTAAAGAGTCGGGATAAAAGTTCCAGAATGATTATTTGTTCTCATGAAATGGTTATAACGAGCGCTCGCCCCAGCTCGGTAGAAAATCAAAAGAGAATCTAATGAAACATTAAACTCCCCCACCGGTGGTTTTAAAACTGAAATTAAATTGATACTGCATTATACCATTTTTCCAGCGCCTCTCAACCGAAATAAAAGAGGCCTCATTAAGGTTGAAAACTAATAAATGCAGCTCGATGTAGCTCCAGCTGATAGATTTCCCATTTATTGGAACTAGTTCTGAGTCTCGACTGAAGGGTAACTCCCCAGAGGGTGTTTTTTCATCTCTCACAAAGCCAATCGAGAGCCCTTATTCCACTTTTCTCATGGTACAGAGTGGAGGTAAAATTGTGAAGCACAAAGTTTTCATCGTCAAGTAGGGTGAACGAGAAATGAAGTTGACTGAGGAATAGTGGAAGAAAAGAAGCGCGTGACCACATTTTTTCATAGTCCCCTTATTTCTTTTTTCACTCAACAAGATGAACCCAACAACCTGTCTGTTTATTCAGCTGATTGTACGTGTCTACAGGCTCAACTCGTCAAGAATGCTGTGAGGGTGAATAAGTCCCTCCCCCGACCAGAAAAGGGAGAAATTCTGAGCGACCAATTGAGCTGATCAAATAATTGAAACGTTCATCAGTGATAAAACTGTTTTTTTCCCGGGAGAGCCCGAGATTAAAAAATTTTCCCCAGCAAAATACAGCGTTTACGTTGAAAACTATTGATTTTCCGGGTAAATATCAAGAGACATTTTTTATCAGATATTCAATTATCCAGATAAAGTGTCCTTTTGTGAATCCCTGTAGGAGCGATAATTGCAGAGATAAATCGTGAGTTAATAAAAATGGTAAATTGTGCTTATTCCACTTTACCACTTTGCTACTGAATTATCTTGCGAGTGTTCTTTGGAGAATGAAACGCGTGACCTAATTTGTACAAGTGTGTGATATAATGTTGCTCGAACCCTAGTTTGATATTGCCCTCGTCCTCCATTCGTATTGCCATCCCCTTTACCCATTGCGTTTTCCACTGCGCGAGCGTACGAAATTCCAAACGGATTCCCTAGGTAGAGAGCGATTCGACGTACATCAAAGTACCTCCATGTTTGCCAAAGTAATTTTTATCAATAGCCAGAGGACTCTCCAAAGTCACAATGAAAATAGATAAAGTTGTTCAATAATCGATTGATTAAAATTTAATATCGATTCGTCAATTATTCCTGTTATCAACCCCCAAATGAAGGAAAAATACAACGAGCTCTACATCTGATTCTCCATTGATTGAGGAGAGGATAATCGAGGCATGATATCCCGCTTCATTGGCTCATCAGCATGATGCCAAGGGTACTGGACCGAATTTACTCACCGTGCAAGAGGTGCAACCCTCATTTGCATACCGATAAATCGATTGAACGATTATAATCGTGACGGTAAGAAAGAAAAAAAAAATATGGAGAGAGGCGTGGGTATGAGGGTCACGGTGACATGAATGAACCTTGTACCCACGTGCTGATAAATCCCTAGACTAGGTAAATAGGTCATACCAAAGGTTTTGACCAATTTTCCTTGACGTTTCTCTTTCAATTTTTGCTAATCGACGAATCGATGTGTAAATGCGTGATTATTTTACCTGTGACTGGAGCTTCGATGTCGATCATAGTCTTCTCTGATCTGAGAAGTGCAGCACCATCATTGACAATGCGTAGTGCTGCTGCCTCGTCGATCCTCCCCTCGAGGATGAAGTGATGTTTGAGAACATCAGGACGTGGCCTCCCAGTTCGTGCATCAAACACCTCAGCTACTGTGAGCTTGTGTGACGGTGGAAATGGCACACCTGAAATCAAAAAGGAAGAGTCAATGAAAAAATTATTCCACCTGCACCAAAGAAACATAAATTCCCCCATTTAAGACCCGATTAATCAACACCTTTAGGCCTAACATATGCAGGGGAGGAGGCCTGTTTAACCCGACGCAAAAGAATTTTATTCCTGGGAGAGATATTCTTCCGAACAACAGGAGTTTTGAGTCTGGGACTGACAGATTTGTTCAGAGGACTACAGAGATCGATAGTCTCATTGGCATCTTCCTGGCAGTCATAGTACATTGTGGTGGCAGCAATTTCGACGACTGAATCATTGATGGCCTCGAGAGAGTCATCAGCAATATCAACAGTTGCGTCAGGCTCCGGTGTGAACATCATGAGATCCTGTGACTTCTCCAGAACAACTGGTGACTCTTCCTTGATATCAAACGGAAGAATAGACGTGCCACTGGTCGACTTCGGCCCTGATTCCCCCCGAGAGGCAATGCTCGAGGTAACAGGTGGTGCTAACTCCCCGTGAGAATCCTGAAGTCTCTCGTCGGTGGAGGTCACCGAGTCAGCTACACCCTGAGACATAATCGATGTGTTAACAGGTGGTGTAAACTGCATATCGGTCTCTCCAAAGCTCGTCGTAGTAAACGACGCAGCTGGAGTATTATCAGACGTGGAGATATTCCCAGGATCTCTCGATGGTGTTCCCACCTCGGGTACGATGCTCCAGGTGTCCTCAACCCCTGAGTTTTTCATTCCAAACTCGGTATACAACTCTCGAAGGAAATTGTCCTCGATTATCTCCCTCTGCGCATCAGTGACAAGATGACCGACATTTTCCTGAACAGCGGACTTGACGATGTCCTCACCAAGGACATCACTCCCCCGACCCCGGGGATATCTCTTCTTCTCCTCCTGGAGGTTTTTGTTGCTCAGAGCCAACCAGAAGACAACCTCCGAGACCGCTTGGAGACTCTGATCCAGCTCTGAGACTTCCTCAGCAACAGCCAAACACTGGAGCGGCTTCTCGGCCTCAGCAAAAGGCAATTCCTCGCACTCCTCATCAAAATCCTGAGACAAATCTCGTCGCATTTTCTCGTTAGTCTCGTCCCGTCCCGAATCCGACTGCTCCTCAGTGAATAATGCATTCAAATCGATCTTATCGAGGTCCAAACTGGCGTTCAGGCATCTCTCGTGCTCTCGCTTAAGCGCCTGCTTCAGGGTATCAGCATCCACGGGTTTCCCCTGCACTGGATTTCTCTGGTCAGGATTTATCGAGGAAAAACGCCTCATTAGAGCATTTCGGATGGAATTCATGTGGGACTCGCTGTCCTCTGGCGATTCATCGATGAAGCTACCGTCCTTGTTCTCCGGTTTCTTTGGGCTTCGCCTCGGGGTCTTCAGGGTCAACGTGTCCAATCTCTTGATCAGCATCTCCATCGAGGGGCTCATCTTCTCCTCGGGCTTTGAATTACCGCGCCGAGGGGTAAGAAATGACTTGAATGTGAAGGGTGAAGCGCTGTGAAGATGGCGACCAGTTTGACGATCAGCTTCGATATCCGATGGTGTTGCTGGAGATGCCGGTGGTTTTTTCAGCACCGGTCTCATCGGGGAATCCTCCACGAAGTCTGGGAGCTGGCGATATGCCATTATTGCGGAATCCTCTTGGCAAAATCGTGATATTCCAGACGCGATTGAGCACTCGACACCTTTTGAGAAAACGAAATTCGACGGAGAGGCTTTCAAGGGCAGAATAAAACTGAATATCGAGAATCTTTTCGAATTGTTTATATACCCTCATACCTTCGGATGTCGAACACCCGAGAATATTATTTCGAGGTGAATATTTAGGTACACGAAAATCCAGAAACAAGTGTTTACTCTCTTCTGTACGAAAACTTACAGGAAAGAGAAAGAAAATATTTGATGTGATGATATCTCAAGAGCACGTGAACCCCAGAGTTGTTTTCATCTTTCTCCCATTATTTCTATTTTGCGCAGAAAATTTTTGCAGTTGCAAGAGACAAACTGCGGAGCGAGGAAGATTAAGGAGAGCGAGGGGATTAAATATAAAAAATGGAGAAGTTTGGGGAGAATTTGGAAAATTGCGCAGGGGAAATGGAAATTAGTGGGAATTTTGTCAGGGACAAGCGCCTGTATTTTTATTTTGCATTGGACACGACTGCATAATTGATACAAAACGAACAAACGGATTGGCGATCGTCCAGTGGATTTTACTCTGTCACCAATGGTTTTATCATTTCCCCTCGCGGTATTTCAGATGGAATTCGCGACAGCCGTTCGATAAGAGTTCCGACAGGTGGCAGTCTTACGACTCAAAAAGCTCGTACTTTACATTTTTTTAAGCACAATTTTATGACTGTAGAACTTATTACTGGGGATTTAGAGAAGATTTGAATAATGGGGCATAAATAATTCGTAATCCCCCGGAGTTGTCCAGAGGCTTTTACTCAATTTACTGACATCCGATTTCGCACTCCGAGTAATCGAAAGAATTATATTGATTACGCAGCTGTGATTTCACTGAAAATTCCAGGAGTCTCGATTTTCCGATGGAATGTAAAGAGTTATGAATTTCCCAAGGATTCCTGAAAAATTATGGAGTTATATCGGTTTTGAGGGAATTCTAGGAATTTATTCAGTTTTCCAATGGATTTCCATGAATTCCACAAGCGAAAAATTCCGGGAGAAAAAACTCACAGAAAATTTCCCGATGAAAATTAAAAGAAATCTGAATTTTCCGGTGACTGTCACAATTTTCCTGTGATTATACCGTCAAGTAAAAATTCGGGAAAGGCGATTTTTCCGGAGAATTAAGGAATCGCGTCGGGTCAATTCCCCAGAATAAAAATCTACGCGTGATATTTCGCTGGAATAAATGAACAATTAAGAATTGACAAGCGCGAAGCACAGGGTTGGGAAAAGATGGTAGATATGGGTCAGAGGATGGACCGGACGGAATATTGATCCGCGGGTAGAGGCAACGCGATAGCTGTCTATGCTAGAGCTTCTCGTATACCCCACGTAGGATACATACCGGATTAAACCCTCGGTGTATGCGTTTAACCCATACATATTCGAAACTCCTCATTCCCCTGACGTTTCCAATGTTTTCCAAGCCATTCAACGACAGCCTGTCTATGACACGTGGATCTCTCGTTGCCGGTTTAGGCAATCTTCATACTGACATCCAATTACCCTTTTTACCCAGCTGTTATTTCGACACCAACTCCAAGTACCTTTACCCACCCCTTATCATCCTTATCACCACTCATATTTAACCACATGTTGACCGATTCGCGCTATTTGCAGATCAAGTTCAAAGGAGTTTTCCGGTAATATTTTCCTAACTTAAATAGTCGAGTATTTATGGATTGTAAATTTTATGATTACAGTTGTTCACGGAAATTTTCCACTCAATTCATGAGTTTATTTTTTGGTAAAAAATTTTGGTGAATTGAAAAAATTCACTGGAAAGCATCAGAAAAAATTCTCCGCACTCTGAATTTTCCCGGAAAATTCAGGAATTGAGATAATTAATACTGAAAGAGTAGATAAGTAAATCCGAAGTGTTTAACAATTTTTCTAGATAAATAACTGCCATTACAGGAGTGATGAACGACTAGGAAAAAAATACCGGTTATTTATACTCACATCCCCCAAACACGGATCGCGATATTTAAATGGCAGAGTGCAAAACCTTATCCATTGTTAGATTCACTCGGTTGATCAAAGTGATTTTCTCTACCCACCCAAGATGAAACAAGAAAGCAATGAAATAATGTTGGGGTAAATAGAATATTGGGGTGAAAGGCAAGTTCAATGGGATTTTCATTCTGAATGCGAAGGCATTTTGAAAAGGGTCTGAATTTTCCATGGGGGTGGGTGAGGATTGGGGGAGGGTTGAAAATCTAGAAAAGGGGAATGGAGGTGAGAGTTAAAGAGATGAGAAGAGAATTTGGTGGACGCACGCGCGAATGCATCGATTGACTAGAGGATGTAGTGCCGCGCCACAGGACACGGGTTTAGTTGGCTATCAATGCTGCCACTGGCGCATGATAATGTTCTTGCTTTTATTACACTCATTATTTCACCGGTTTTTCATGTTTAACACAATCCAAGGACTTCCATTATTATTGCTTTTCAACATTACATATTTTACCATTGAACAATCTCTCTATCAATCTCTTTATCAATATTCCGTGAAATCGACTATTTTTTATTTTTCACTCACTTATTGGAATGCTCAAATAAAAAATAATGTCATTTTTCCAATAATTTCCCACTGAATGTATATTTTTTATGAATAATTATGGGAATTTTCAATTATTCTGATAAAATAAATTTTCCGAGTCCTGAAAAATTGTTGAAAAAAATGTCTAAAATCCAATATTGCAGTGAACCGAGGACTTAAATTCAGAGAATGATTAAATCCCAAGTCTACTCATGCAATATGGAAAAGTTTTACGAGAATTTCACCGGAGAAGAATGAGTAAATTTGCACTAGAGCTCACCGTAATATATATCACTACTTTAGACTAGGCATTTCTGAGATTATATTCTACCGAGTAAATCACAAAACCCGAGAGGAGGGGAGGGCACAGATGGAATTGCACTCGAGTGAAAGTCGGAATAAAGGGAGAAATTGAGTAAATGCTGGGAAGTAATGAATACAACAATCTGTAAGTTACAACGATACAAGTGGGTATATTGATCCAACTGCGGGCTCCATCTGTTCGTTAAGCTCCAACTCTATATATTTATACGTCATATTTTATTTAATTATTCATTCATCACGAATAATTCCCCCCATTTGCTCTACATTAAATTCTGATGGATATGAAAGGGAACATCGTCCTCCAATCCCCCATTCACGAGAATCCCATTATTTCTCTTCATCCCGAATAATCCATTCAAAAATATTTTTCAATTTCCAATTTTCGATTTATCCCGAAAAATATCGACTATAGATAAAAGTGGAAAAGGAACTTTTTCGAGTTGATTAAATTTCCGTCGGAAATGGTTTTTTGACATTTTCCCTTAAAATCAATATTTTTTGATTAATCGGTGTTTGAAAAGGGGAAAAGTCGAAGTGATTATCGATTTTTTTTTTTTGGGTATTTCTGGAGTTGGTGGGGGAAAATCGGCAGTATTTTTTTCTCATTAACGCGACATTTCGTTGTCTTCATTCTGACACATGACGTAATGCTCTCAAGTTGAAAAATAACAGAGGTGATAAAAAAATTCAACCGACAAACCATCTTCCCACCCTCTGACTATTTCACCTGTTGATGCGTGCCCAAGGACTTTGATTCAAGGACGAGTCTGCGCTTAGCACAATTTCTAGTCACAAATTCCTTAAACATCTGAGCTATTTTCAAACTTGAAAATAATTAATCAAAAGAATTCCCCACCGAACCGCCAAAAAATCTGCAATTCCCAATTTTTCAATAACCGATTTACCCAGCGACAATCAGATCCCAAAAACCCCGCAGGACATCTCACGCCTGAAATCAATAATTCCCCAGATAAATTGAAGTTTATTTAATAATAAAAAAATTAATAGACTCGACTTGTCCAGAAATAATTCCCCATTTGGTATTGAAGGGGAGAAGTGGGAGAATTAAGTGGAATATTAATTGATAAATCAATTAATGAGCCCCAGCAAGAGCTGATTGTCGTTGACAGTCTGTCTTCTGGTAATTGGAAACTCCTCAAGACCGAGTAGCAATTTTCCGGCTTCCAAGGGAATCCCGATAAATAGCACCGAGTGATAAAATCAGTGTTTTATCAAGAAATCGGGTGAATAATGTCGATGCAGAGTTTCCAACTATTGGCGTTGGGTGTTTAAAGTGTAGAACGAAGAACAGGCCAAATGTAGTTGGCCACCAAGCCAAATGAGTTTGTTTGTGTCTATTATTACGCTCCAGCCGGCCATGAGCCCGAGCCTCAAGTCTACTGATATTACCACCAGATCGTCTACCCATTTCAACGCTAAACTACCGTCACATCGGTGATTCCAACAATTAGATTCGCGTCTAATGGACATGAGGGATGAGAGATGGTGATGTCCGCTCGAGTTACAAGGGTGAATTCCATGGAATTTGTATCACCAGTTGGTTCACCCCACAGGTCATTACCACTCCTCAATTATCAAATAAATAATTGAGCAACAATAATCCTCCCATCATTTCATTCAAGAAAAATCGAATTTTTCATTTTCATTAATCGTCGATTAACCATGAAATTATCGATTTTAGGGAAAAACCTTTGGGAACTTTTTTGTTGGCCACTAGATTTTCGAGAGAAAATGTCTCTTGCTAGTTTTTTGTAAAATTGATAGAATGGGGAGGAGAGGGTAAATCAGTGAATCGTTACCCGTGGAATTCAATGGAAACGTTCGACACCCCCATGAATTCCTTAACACCTCGTATCCAATTATTCCGGCAATTAAACCCCTCAAATATTTCCAAGAGCCGTCCAAAAATCCCACCCACGTGCTACTGCCACCCCGATAATCCATTCCTAAATTGCCCACCGAATATTTCCGATATGAAACAACCGCGAGATTTATTCCCCGTGCATAATTCACTTTTCCCCAAGCCTTGCAATTAATTCCCGGAGTAATTTAATGAGTCACCCGAAAAATAAAATACTCAAGAGCCCGAAGAAACCCCAACCCCAACCCACCACCCATCCACCCACCAAACAGCCCTCCACCCGCCCAATTAACTCTCCCCCTCAAAAAAAGGGTAAAAGAGGGGTGGAAAAAAAGGGGAAAAAAAGGGGGAAAAAAAGGGGGAAAAAATGGAGCAAAAGGATAGACTAAAAACAAAATGAAGAAAAGGTGCGGCTCAGGAGTGTACGTTATGGAGAACTCGGTGGAAAACGGAAAAGCGTGACTCGAGGGTTGGTTGGTGGTCGATAGCAATGGCGTCGCGACCCCGCGGAGAAAATCAATCTCAGCTCGACGCCGGTTCGGCCTTGTTTTTACGTTAACGAACACTCCTATGCAAAGGATTGGAAGAAATTTGAAATGCCACCCCGTTTGAAAAAAAAAAAAAATCACCCCCCACCTCATCCTAAAATTTTCCACATCACACCCCCCCAGAACAATGCAATCCACCCCTAACAATAGGATAAAGAAAACCCCGTGGAAATTCATCGCAGATGGCTGCCCTACCGACTGCGATAACCCCGAAATAACCCCCGAGGGATGAACCACCGAATAAAAAAAATAAATAATCCAGATAACACAGACAATTAAACTCACTCTTTATGACACGTTCAGTGGTGGACAGCTTTTGTGAATTATTGGTGGTCATCCTGACGTGCCTTGTGTCTCAGTTTTTGAATAATTTTACGTTTTTTTTTTTTGTCAGATCAGCGGTGAAACCCGCCACCTCCAACAAATAACAACTCCACAACCCCCGTTCACTTGATAAAAACCACTTTTATAAGATTCCTCCCCCAGTATTCTCCGGATTTATTAACACTGAAAACGTGTCTGCACAGTCAGCGCTAACAAACACACGATGAATATGTAATTGTTTGGTATTGCCTGGGGTGGGGGTAAAAACACAAGTGACTTTTGGATAGAGAGGGTGAGTTGAAGGGGGCAGGGGATATGGCAGAGGAGGTGGTTGAATGGGAGGTGGGCGAGTTGGATGAAATGAGGAGGGAAGGGGTGGGAAAAAGCCGAGGCAACGAGGGAGGAAGGGAGAAGTTGGAGGATGAGTATCTTGACCGCTGAGACACCCGTCGCGTTATGGCGCGAGTAACCGCACAAGAGGGGAGGTTTAAGGGGGGGGAATGGGGAAAGGGGTGGGGAGGCAGGGTGAAGGGACAGAAGAGAAGGGGAAGGGAGAATACTCAGTGGGACAAGGGGTGAGTGGGGAGGTAAAGGAGAATTGGGAGGATTGGGTGAATGATGACGAGAAGGCGGTAGCAGCTGCAGACTGCGCTTAATATTATCGCGCACAGTGAAACATCAGTGAGCACAATCACTTTATTTATCTGTTTACAATAAAATTCGATAGAACAATTAATGCCACCTAATGACAACTTTTGCCACCTTTTATCTCAGCCCAACAATTACTGCTCCTCTTCCTCCACGACTCCTCCCCCCCCCCGCCCACTCTTCCTGTTGACTTGAATTTTTTTTTGGTAGGTCTCAAGGGCTCTTTGCTGCACACACGCGATATACCACGGATACCACCAGGAGACTGCACGATACGAGGCAGAGGGGGGGAAAAAAAAAAAAAAAAAAGGAGGACGAATACGAAGGTCGAGTTTTGTGTCACGGGCGTATTAAAATCCAAATAATAATGGTTTATTTTTTATTTAAATCCACAGAACGACAACTTGGGTAATTGTGTTTGTCACTCCCAGGTCTCCACTCCACATTGAAAATCAAAGTAGGTTGGGCTGGTGAATTATTTTCGGGGTTGCGAGGGGAAGGGATTTTTTTAATAGTTATGCGGACACGATTCTCAATCGTTTGAATAAAATTGTTGGCCGTCGCGTTTAAATTGGTGACACCGTGTGTGAACTACACGCATATAAGAAAAATAAATATATATATAGTGTATACGTGTGGGAGAATGTGTGAATGATCTATATGCACTCGATGAATCTAGGATTTTTCCTCGGGGGGATGGATTTTTCCGCTCTTTGCCCTCTTCGTTATTTTGGCTCCGTTTTTTTTTTTTTATTTAAAAAAATTTCCCTCTCTCCCTCTCTCTCACGCTTTTTTTTTCGCGGGGATTGGAGGGTATGGTCCACGGATAAAACGACGGGACACACGTCGTTCACACGAACGATACCACCGTAACCACCACGACGCACCGTGACTCGACACCCACGGTCGACCACGCCGCTAAATTCTACTACAAGATGTCTGTTCTGCTTTCTGCTCCGCGGACACGAGCACTGACAACCAAATCCGCCACTTCAATTTTTTACCGCGCATACGATACCGCGCAACGATCATTCGAGGTCACGGGAAGGTCTTATGCCACCGCCAGCAGGCGCTACGTGTGAGGGCTCCCCGCCCCCGCCGAGGGGGGGTCGGAGACGGGGTCCAACAGACCACCATATACTTGGCAACCGAAAAATTAATTTTACATTTTAACTATGCTCATTAGTTTGGGGATCATTTGGGGATATTTTGGCAGGAGGTTTCAACATTTAGGGAAAATTATTTGATTTATTATAAATTAATTAAGTTGGAACGTATAGTTAGCAAACAAATAATTTAAAATTTTTGAAAAATTACTCAAAGCTTTTAAATGTTTTGGGGAATCGATTCCTCAAGACCAAATTATTTAGGGAAGAATAAAACTCCTTCAATTACTTAATTTCAATTCTAAATGGAGAAGCGCCGGGGAGGAATCGATGTATACATATATATTCATCCGCGAAGTATTGTTTGGGGACTCATTGAATTCAACATCTAATTCGACGTTCGACCACATGTTCTTGAAAAAAAAAAACATAACCTAACAATCCTGGAAAGAGCGCGGAAACTACGTGTGAATTGCACTCCCTATGATATCAGCGTTAAGTTTATTTACCACCGATATGTTGCATATTTGTACATTACAAGAGGTTTCGTGCGAGAAAAGAAATAGTCCGTAAAATACAGGGACAATGAAAAGTATGTGGCACGTGTACTGGTGATAAGCAGTAAGTAAAATCGATTGCATTAAAAAATTCGCAATTATTCACTCATTTCTCTCATGTTATCTGCATAATCATTCGATTTATTCATTAATTCCCGAAAATTTCATTGATGATTGCTCTTACAGATGATGAAACATCTTTGAGGACGTTGAAGTCAAACATAGGGGATGACGCATGAGTACCACGTTGATGAGTTTTCTCACGGTCTCGAAAAACGTCACCAAGCATATGGGTGAAAAAATCCAGTAATAATGGATCATTAAATTCGTTCTTCTCTGCACTTGAAATTTAATGATTCAGTTTTCCTCGTGCCCTCGACATGAATAATGCCTGCCTATCCTGTAAACTATCTTTCTCTCCAGGGAATCACATACGAAAATTTCAATAGAAAACCCCAAAGAATTCTATAGGAATTTCTATAGACTTTCTATAAGACTTCTATTGATTTTTCTATTCCCTTTTGCCGTTTTGTCTTGACATGTTCGATAGGAAATTTTCTATAGAAAAAGTCAATAGAATCTCAGTTTTCTATAGATTTTTTGTCGCTCAAGTTTTCTAAGTTTTTCCATTCGATTTTTTTGAAGAGAAGAAAATAAAAAAAGACTAAAAGACTTAAAAAATTTAAGTTCAAAAAATTCTATCAAAAAATGAAATTCTATTGACTTTTTCTGTAGAATATTTCCTATTGAATATATCAATAGAAAACGACAAAAACGAATAGAAAATTCAATAGAAGTTCTATAGAAATTCCTATAGAATTCTTTAAGGTTTTCTTTTAAAAATTTTCGTATGTCGTAATCCTGTTTTTGTAGGCAAAGCTATCTGTCCTGACGAGAAGCTAAACCCATGGACTCGTGCTTTGTCGTTGAACTGGGCAAATGAGGAAGGAGATTTTTCTGGAGAGAACAATTCTTAAACCTCCAATATTTACAACGATTAGGAAACATGATGAAATAGGACGTTGATGTTTTTGAAAGACAGGATATTTCATTCTTAATGAGGCTACCGATATCTCTCTCCATCCCAGTAAAATATATTTCCATTTCACGAACGACATAATTTTTTATGTCGGAGGTCAATTCAGTTCTTCTAACATTCTTCCTTCGGTTAATTTTATCATCAATTCGAGGTCTTTCGCAACACTCTGTCTAATTGCTCAACTCTGCAAATCAATAATCAATCGTTTGGTGATTCTAATGAAAAATTATGAAGAAAATCATTTTAGAGTAACTCCTTCTGTATTTAATTACAGTGATCTCATGAGTGCATTTTTTGACCAGAAAATCCTCCACAATGGTGGAAGTTGAGAATGGGGAATTTAACGAAAGATGCTATCGATATCATTCCAGCTCCAGTGAATCATCGAGAGCCAAAAAGGAAAGCATCAGCATCATCGTTACTCGTTCTCTCTGGCTGCATGGCTCTGCTTGATTCACGAGTTTGATAAACTGATAAACAACGTCCGACTGTGTTATTACCGTTTATAGAATTGGATTTTTTTTGTGTTCACAGATTTTACTTGGAAGCAGGTAAAAGTCCACCAGGAAATCGAATGCAGAATCTCATTGACTAGAACACGTGTTTGAAGATTATGTTTAGACCTCGAATGTGTTCTTCGTGGCTTTTCTCAAATTATTTCAAACAAAATTCTCATCATTAAAACAGTTGTTGTAGTCCATGAATAGACAAATGTTGCATATTTCCGACTGTTATTGAAAAAAAAACATTCCATGTTCCCTCATTATTTCTCTATAATTTCAATAAATATTCTTCACATGAATTATTTATCTTGCACGCAATTTCTCCGTCTTTTTCGCAATTAATAATAATGATGTGGTTTTGAATAAGTGTTTGAGCTCATTACAAAGAAATGTTTTACGATTGTATTTGATGAGGAAAAAGAAACAGTACAATACAGTACAGTACAATTAAGACTTTTATATCCATTGTCTTGTAGTTCTCCGCCTTCATCCCTCATTTCGATTGCTTAATTAGGAGAAGACATTGAACGTTGCAAACACCTGAGGAACTGAGTTGGTAAGTTTTTATATTTGCGATTTTAATTTTCTACTTGAAATGTTTAGTGGATAGTTGAATTGTGGTTGCATATGCCACAGGAAAACTACCGATGATAACTACAAACACCCTAAATTTTCTCCACCTACCCCCTCACATTTGTTCCGAAATAAATATACTCAACGTTTCAACATTTATGGATAAACTGACAGCCATAAGACTGAACCTAGTCCAAACCAACCGGAGTCGTAAAATATCCAACAATGATTTATTAAATATCACACAGTGGAGACAATGCAGGTAATTTTATTCCTCGCAACAAAATATAAATTGCAACATACATTTATAACAAATCGTAGATCTGAATTTTTCACTCTTCGACATAGATTAATCCATGGGGTGTAAGTTTTTGACGCAATTCTAAACCTTTCACAGGTTCAATTTTCCTACTCGTGTCATCACACTTTAGCCAAGTACCTGTAGTGCGCAAGCAATATGCAATAAAGTGCCCTGGCTTATACGCAATTACCCCAGCCAATCTGAAAAATAAAGATCAATATTCATGCAGTTGCATTGGAGTTTTTTTAGAAGTTCATAAAAAAGGATTGAGCAACTGACCGAAATTTTTTATCAAGAACCAGTGTTTTCGGGAAATCCTCGAGAACAGATTGCATTGGTTTATTTTCCACTTTCTCTTGCCCGGGAATCACAGTTTTCGTTCTGATATCTACATCAATCAGAATATGTTTGTTGCATTCTGTGGTTTCTGTTACTAATCCTGAACAGTTCTTCATTGTGCATCGGCTCTTAAGAACAGTATGAGTAAACTGCACAGCTCTTTGTAAAACCTTGTATCCATCATTTAAAATTTCGCGTTCATTGATCATTAGAAAGGGAACATTTTTTGTTAGAGGTGGACACTGACGATTGCTACAAGATTTTATCCGAACTGCACTAAGTTCTGGGCCTAGTAGGTCACTCCAAATCTTTGTGAGGAAGTCTTCAGCATCCAGCTCATATGCTGAGAGAATAGTAGCTCCAGGATTTCTATGAATTGGATAAAAATTCCGGAGAATTTTCAATCGTTCCGAGTAGAGCTGATTACTGGGTCCGTTCTCTTGAAACTCTTTCAATAATTTCAGAAATTGCTGAGTCGAAGTGCTGATGAACGATAAATATTTAGGGTTATCGAAAGCGGTGAACTGCAAAATGTGGAGTATACTGTCGAACCCACAAGTATTTTTAACCCAAACTTTAATACTGTCTGTTAGCACAGGAGATAGGCAGAGACCATTTCTCAGAAGAAAGCCTTTTTTTCTATTGTTAACTCCCCTACTATTCAGAATTTTTATCTCTGGGCAAGGCTGAAAATGACATCCTTTAGAGTTAACTCGTTTATCATATCCGATTTTTGCTTTAAATCTTGCCAAAACAATTCCATGGTTGTCAGTTTGCACCTCAACTGAATGTTCTTCATTTTTTATCTCATTAATATGATTTTTAGGTAGATTGTTGTCTAAATTCGGCGGACTTTTATCTGAGACATTGCAATAGGAATGGTCGAGTGTCGTACTGTTGAATTGAGGCTCATCGAAGTGGAATGAGGGATCAGAGTGTCGGAAATGTAATAGTTGAACTTTTTCATCCACTCTTACAGGCTCATCTTTTGAAGAAGCCTCAGAACGCTCATTCTCCAGATTCTCATCAATAATTTTACCATCGTTTTGGTTGAGATCAGAGAGAATACAGAAAGATTTAACAGCTGACTGAGAGTTAGACTGATCATCACGATGACGTAGGCGACGAGGAGACATTTTACCATCATCTTCGTCCGAACTGGTGTCATTCGGGCAAACGTTAGAGTTCTTAAGTCCTCCCCATGGCTCAGAGGATTTTAAATCAGAGTCATCGGCAATATAATTTCTGTTGAGTCGTTTTCTCGATAAAAAGTCGGTTTCATGGAAGATAGAGTTCGTTGTCGTGGCTGGAGGATTGTGTGATTTCAAAGGTGCTAGTGGACTGCGTTTTCTCTTCAATTCAAACTTTACTATCTCTGAATGCTTTTTCAGTGGAGTTGATGGTGATGATCTCTCTGTGGTGGGCGACTCGAGGGGATGGGATTCCTGAGGAAAGTGGGAGTCAATTCCTGGAATAGTCTGCTCTATGATTCCATCAGGCGATGAATGATGTTCTTCTTCTCGGTGGAGAAAATGTGTCAACTTGCTGAACATCATTTTGCTGCCGTTCAGCAAATGGTCCATGTGAGTTTTAAGAAAAACATTAGCCTGACAAGGCAACGTTATCTTTTCAAAAACTTGTGATCTCATGCGTGAGAAATATCCTTCTTGATATGCCGTTGACACATGTCCACTTCTAATAGGAATAGCAGCAGCAGACCACAGAGGGAATTCTTTCGCTATTCTCTCCAGCTGATTGATGAAACTAGGGAGATAAAATGCATTCACCGATTCACCTTTTATTGCAGCAGGATCGACAGATTTCGCTGTAGCAATTAATCCTTTTATCCACTGGTGAGTTGTAGTACCATCTTCACCTTCGGTGAACTCTTTATCAGAATTCTTATCAGTGTTTTCTTCATAAAGTGTTCTGGAGCTTTCCAATTGACCTATTTCGTGGCTGCGTGAGCTTATTAACTCTTCCAATGCATTTCTGGCTTCTCGAACGGTCATGTGAGTTTTGGATATCCTGACAAATGTGTCATTACATGGCTGAAGAGCTACGATGCATAGCAATAAAAATATCTCTCTAAATTCTTTTACACTCTGTGCATCAATTAGTAAGGCCACGCATTTGAGGATAAAACTTTTCACGTATGGATGAGAACCTTTCAGGCATTGCCATTTAGCCACGAATGCCATTACGTGAGCCACATCGATGAGTATAAGGGTAGGTGCTGGTCGTGGTTTCAACTTTTTCTCCTCGTCGTTCAAGTTAGCCCACAAAAAACACTCATCAACGTAAGTCTTTAAGCTCATGTTGTTAAACGCCAGAGCAGCGGACAAAGGGATCGCTCTTTCATAATCAGAAATGCACTCACTGGGGGATGGAGCTCCCAATCTCTTCCAATGTTTGATCCAGTTCTCGATGAACTCTTGAGTGTGTATTGTAGATAACATTTGATTGACACAGAGAGTCGTATTCTCAAAATTGATGGTTATCGTAAAAACGAAGATGTGCCCAGTTTTTTTAGTCTCTGAAATGTCAAATTTTCTTACAAATTTTCCTGAGGCATCAATAGCAATTTGTGATGATCCTCTCTTGACGCGACAGTACTCTTTAAACACATGAATTTGCTGTGGTATACAATACCAAACAAAAAAATCGATTGCACCGAGATTATGGATGCTGTGAGGATAGCGGGAGTCACCAGCCAGGGTTTGAATCGATTTAATAACATCAACTTTTTCTTTACGTGCCAATCCATGATTTTCTTTATTTGTCTCCATTTTTGCCTGTCGGTAGATGCGTTTACTCCTGATGAAATGTGGGACATTTTGACCAAATTCCATGTATTTCTCGATCAATTGTTCCTGGTAATTAGAAGCACATGTGCCTTGTATCGACTGTCCTACCTCCTTCCGTTCAACTCCTCTCAAAGGACGCTGCACCTCACGATGATAATCGTTCCTAGTGTCACGAGTTGAAATAATGAATTTTAAACCATGCTTATCAGGTGGTTTATTGGCAACTCCAATCATTTTATTTTTGCACTTCTCCTTGTCTTTACAGTATAGAGAGACTTTGCAAAAATATCCATCGTCAGGGTCCACTTGATCCAGCCTAACATGGGAATTTTTCGCCAGAAATGCACAAGGAAATTTATATTTTCGCCAAAATGCTTTGGAGAATACTGCGGCCCAAACCTCTTTCTTCAACTTCTTATTAGGACCTTTAGGCTTTCCATCTGGCTTTATTTTGTCCCAATCAGGGGTTTCCAAAAGAAAAGGAAATTGATCCTCTCGAAGTGATGTGTCAAATTCATCAGAGCCATGCCAATCGCTCTCATCGTCCGAATTTTGCCTCACAGATTCCTCACAGATATATTCATCTTCAGAGAGAAGAATTAGTGGTTCGCGTGGAGGTATAGAGATGTTCCGATTTGCACGAGCAGCAGTGAGCATCCCACCTGTGTCCTGTCTCACGCGATTATTCAGCGTTTTGATTGACCACCTTCCACCCAAATCCTCATACATTTGTTTCCAAACATTATGCGAAAATATTGGGATGTCATCGGTGGCGAAATACTCAATGTATTTTTCGAGGAGGGTAATAAATTCCTCTCGCAAGACCGCTCGTGGACGCCCCGACATCTCTCAAACTAGAAAAGAATGCAACCAGTTTAAAAAAATGGAAATATCTTGAAGATGAGTAGGTTCTAAGAAAAAACTCGAGAGGATTTGTTTGTAGAGAATTTGTGGCCTACAGAAAAGCTCTCTCGACATTTGTCTCTAGACGACTAATTATCGGAAATAAATCAATAATTGTCAGGATGTGACAAATCATGCTGCACCATGTTGATTGATTGATTTACCCTTTTTCATAGCCAAAAAAATTAGCAAAAAAAATAGTCTCTCTACATTTACGCCAAAGCTCACTCAGTATGGCTATAATGCCATTATTATGCAGATGTGGGAAATGGAGTTAGAAATATCTCACTACTGACCTATGTAATCCAGATAATTTGACATTATTATTCCCTTCCAATTTAAAACATTGAAGTTAAAGAGGTTAATGATTCCCATGGATTTTCCGAGAATCAGGTCCTCAGCGTTCGTTGTGCTGCCGATGAATCAATCTAGCCTGAAAAATAGAACAGGTATAAATATTCCATACACAGATGAAGAACATAGAGATTAGAATTGACTATATTGTTAGTTTCCATATTAATTTTATTATCCTGTATTATAGAAACTAGTTCCAACAGTGCAACACGCGTTCGGATATTTCCATTATTATTAAAAAATGAGAAACCATAAAAATATGATAAAATTAATATATAAATGGGAAATCAGCTCTGTTTACCTGAACAAATGACGTTATAAAAGGATTGTGTGCTTCAATTGAAATTGTTAAAATTTTAATAGGCAAGATTTTGGCGTAATTGAAGATTGGGTGAACACCGAAAAACGCGTTGGGATATTATTGAATTCAGCCACCATCGGCTAAACTGGATATTTTTTTTCACGATTTCCTCCCCAATCAAGAATGGAAGTTGCTCTAGGTTTCAGATAAATAAATCCAATCGATCAAAGGAAAATTAATTGATAATGCTACGGTTAATTTACCGACAGATATGAAGACTTTATCATCTGAGCTTTAGAACTGAAAATATTAAATTTTATTCTTTTCTTTGAATTTCGAGATATCCAACGATTAAAAAAGGAAGAATTCTCTGCTGAATTTGGAAATTCACTCATTAACGAGCCAGATCAACGAGCAACGTGTTGAATACATTCCACAATTTAAGTGTAGAATAGAAAAAAAATATATATTGTATACCATGTATGCAGATGCTGCCACAACCCTTTACGCTGTCCATTTTTTTCATCATCAAATATCTGAAAAATCTGCGACCGTGGAAGGGTTTGATGAACACCTCGACAGTCGATTCCCTGCATATATGTTGTGTAACCCCAGAATGCAAACGAATTAATTAAAACAGTTGCCCAATAGAATAAAGCAAATGGACACCTTGATGGATCAATCCCAGACTTGACTTTTGGATGGGAGAAACTTCCCAGAGGTGACTCTGGTATTTATCAAGTCTGGGATTGATCCACCATTGCAAATTGAGTCGTAGAGTAATGCACCCAAATTGACATCTATTACCTAATAACATCATCCCCAATTAGAGAATTATCTCGTCAACAACTATTTATACGAAAAATGATCAAGAAATCGTTTCTGTCTGGAATTGCTCCCGTTATATGAAAGTTGGTTCGACATTTGCTCTCCGAGCACTGTATTTTCAAGATAAGTGAGAAACTGTAAATAAAAAATAATGAACTCATCAAAACTTGCATGAATAATTATCCTCAACCTCCAGTACTCAGCTCGCTCAAAACTATGTGACCCATTGCTCAGCTGATTCGACCCTCGAGTCCCTCCTAACACTTGCATCATCAAGTTTTTCTCTGCTCTCATGGTTCTCCAGGAAGCTTCCAACCCACTCTATCGAATTTCCACACATCCAGTACCAAGAGTTTCTCTCTTGATTGATTTTGAACTGCAAGGATCGATCAATCAAAATCGTCAACGAAAAATCTACCTTGTCCAAAAAATTATGACTACTCTCACAAGGCTGCCCAGGCAGAACGCATCCGTTCGAGTGCACGGGGATCTGCCGTAACAGCTGGGGTGTATGAAAACAAGTGTAGGCCAATCGAAACAGGCATTTGGAAGTCTGATGAATAACTGGCCAGGCATGTTCACAACAAATGGGTCCAGTCGACAACGAGAACCAAGTCTCCATGAGACTCAGTGTTTTACTTTCACTCCGTTTACAATGCATTTCGAAGATCCTCAGCCCCTTTCCTTTTTTGCCCCTCAATCTCTTTATCTCTTCCTTCATCTTAAATCATTTGCCCTTCTCCTTTCCGTGCTTTGGTAGAGGTTATTGGAGCCAAAGTAGTAGGCAATCAATGTAAGGGTGCAATGAATCTTCGAACTGTATTTTTACCTGTAAACAAACAAAATAATTTATGGCATGCACTCCGAAGTAATGAAAAAATATCAGAAGAAATATCAGAAGACAGTGATCATTCCGTTACAATGATGTTAAGATGGCAAAACACACAGTACAAATGTACACACTCACGAAGCATTTGGAGTTTCTTGTTGTAAATTCGGGCTCTCTTGAGTTTAATAAGCTCACAAATATATTTAGAAAGTACTTACATGTCTTAAACAAATAATCTCACTCCGCAGAATAAATTCTGGTTGAATTTACTCCAAAATGAAGCGTGCTCCGAAATGACGACCCCCCAACAGCTGGTCCCAGCGGCCATTTTAAATCGGAAAATTTAAATGGCACTGTGGTGTGGGACAATATGAGAATCATTTATTAACACGCGAATGACAATTTAAACCCCGGATTGTTTTATTGAGTAATGTATGTACCCAAGCGATTCCTTACGTTTCATATGGAAGGTAGAAAGACCGTCCCCAAATAATTCTTAACGTATATAAATATAAATGTTTAGAAATCGATTATACTCCCCTCCCTCACTACACTATTACTCGAAATTAATTAATTGAAGGAGTTTTATTCTTCCCTAAATCATTTGGTCTTGAGGAATCGATTCCCCAAATCATTTAAAAGATTTGAGTAATTTTTCAAAAATTTTGAATTATATGTTTGCTAACTATACGGTCCAACTTAAATAAATTATAATAAATCGAATAATTTTCCCTAAATGTTGAAACCTCCTGCCAAAATATCCCCAAATGATCCCCAAACTAATGAGCATAATTAAAATGCATAATTAATTTTTCGGTTGCCAAGTATATGGTGGTGTCCAACAGATGGTGACATCCATCAAAGGGCGAAGGGGGGTCTCTCGTGAGGGTGCACAGGAAGTCCACCAGATGGGGCCAGAGGTTATTAAAAGGGGGGCTGAGGGGGCGGGGAGATTGAGCTGAAGGTTCGGGGGGGCCCTCACAGAGGGATTTTTTGAATTTTCGGCGGGAACGAATTTTTTTAGGGGTGAGGGTTTTGATGGTTCGTTTGTGAGAAGGAGTTTTTGGGTTTCAACTCCCTGAGGTAATTGTTAATAATTTTTAAAAGAATGTATAATTTATTGGTCTGAATGGAGTAATAACAAATTTATTATTGTTACTGAATTCAAAATTCCAATTTCGGTCGGTTCTCCACCCACTTTTTGATATTGGGAATATCCAATACTTTTTTTATAATACTTTTCAAATTTGGTCGGCCCTCCGTGATGTCAATTCCACAGGCATTCGCCAGAGAATCGTGAATGGCAGTGAAGAAAATGTCAGCATAACTCAACTATCGAACGACCAGAAATAAACATCATTAACTAATTAAAACAAATTCTCCCTATGAAAGCTCTCACCTGACCGCCATGGAAATATCCCCCATTATTTTTCGCGAGTTCCTCCAATTTATTTAAATAAAAAGGTACAACACTCTTCAGAGTCTCCTCCTTCTTCTTGGCCCTGAGGACAGGGTCCTCCTCTCGATAGAACAGAGCAACCTCTAAAATAATTTTCACTATTCAATTAAAAAATCCACGTCTCAGCGAAGAAAATCGACAGGATACAAACGTTTCCTCAAATCATGAAGACCAGCTGCGACGGCATCAATTTGCAAAGCATCCAAATCAGTCTTGCCAATCAGATCCAACGGTTTAGCAAGATAACGACAAATTGGTAATGCCTGAGCGAACATTTTCCCATCGATCTCCAAAACCGGTAATTGACCGAATGGAGTACCTTAACGAAATCGAATAAATAAAAATCAACCCTGCCATTGGATTCACAATAAATTTCCTCACTTGGTTTCATCTTAGGCCAGACATTGACTCGATCATCCACACGAATATCTTCGAAATCATGACCACCATAGCTCAGAAGAAAGCGAATGGGTTCGCCAAGACCCATCACATTGAAATACGTCAATCTGTACTGCGGCATTTCCACCGAAAATTTGAAAAATACCGCGGAATTTCGGTGTTAATTACAACTCAGTAATAAACTTGTGAAATAACTAGCTCGATGACACAAAACACGCCTTTTCGTACACCACAGATTACGAGAAGCAACAAGTCATCACACAAAAGCGAAGAACCTGATTTCCCCTTCTCCAAAGTCCATCTCCCACTCTCAAGTTCCGAATACCCATATATACAGAGGCATATCTGATACACATATATATTTTTCACTATAGGCCTTGCAACTAAATTTTTTTCCCACGTAATTAATTAGAAATAAAAAAAATTATTGTCCAGTTTCAATTTTTTTCAATTTTCGGGACTCCGAAGATTTTTAAACAAAAATTCCGGGATCTTGCTCCCACAAATAATTAGATAGAATTTTTCAATTAAATTTTTAATCAATTCACCCCTCCCCCGATATCTGAATTCCTCATTATCCGAGAAGATAATTAAATAGCGAGCAAATCACACCGTAAACAAGCCATTTGGTGTGGATTGCAATAGTCAGTCGGTGAAAATAAGCAGTTGAAGGCATCATGAAGACAAAAGTACTGTACACAGTGATAGTTTACCCGAATAAAGATAGCCGTCAAGTAATAGCATGTCATCCACGTCACGGGACAAATCATTACAGAAATATCGTGATTGCTGCGATGCAAGACTTGACGACTATAGACGAGGACAGAATAAGCATCACTCGTGATAAGTACGTTTTTATCAACAGCCTCTGGCAGTCAATCATTGATAAAGCAAATTTCAGATTCACAGTGCACTTGGTTTTTGGGGAGCTGTGGTACGCGTGTTTAACACCGATCGAGGGTTCACCGGTCGCGGCATCAGAGGTTTCCCTAGAAGTCCAGGAATTTCTCGGACACGTGCGATCTGTCTACCGCGAACTGCCAATTCTCGCCGATCTCTCAAGGGAATTGCCAAATAGTTCAGCTGGAGATCTGTCCCGACCACTGGGAAAAATTCTGGTAGATTTATCACGATTTTTTTCACCGGAATTTCAGTTGATTTTTTTGACAATTCAAATTTTTTGAGTTTCCCGCTCTCGGGGTGTTATCAGAAATTGCTAATTCCTCTAGGAGAGGTACGGTCAGGAGACAATCATCAACCTGACTCCGAAGGTTCACCAGGAGTTGCAGGACATCAGGACGATTCTCCTGGATTCCATGCAGAGGCTCATCGACAGGGGCGAAAGGCTCGATGAACTTGTGAAAAAAGCGCAAACCCTAGAGATATCGGTATTCCATTCCGCAATTATCGGTAATTTTCATCCGCCGATTGCGACATTAATTACAATGACAATTATTTCAGGTGCGAAAGGACTTCCGGTTCACTCCAAAAATCGCGAAGGACCAGAAAAATTGCTTCGGTGTATTTTCATCTGCTGTATTACTCATATCGACTCTGGCATTCGCAATTCTCTTGTACATCGAAATATTCTCGTAAACCTGGGATTTCGCGAATTGGGAATTTAATTTTCTTTTTTTTTTGGCAGTTCTCGGTCGAGGGTCAGACGATGACCCCATGTATCACAGGGCAACCGAGATTAATAAAAATTAATCGCTCGAGTGGACATTTAAACCCGTAATTTTTTTTGAATTTTCGAATTTTGCGGTCTCGATTTATTTTTTTATTTAGGATTTCAAAAGGCGAGAGTTGGTGATCGATTATCGGCCGTCGATAGTTCACCAGTCGATGGAAATCGGTGGAATATCGAGGGAGAGACTTCATTTTTCTACTTCCCTACATTATCAACCAACAATATATTCCGATAATTATTTAAAAATATCCTGCTTTGATTAATTCACAAATTTCATTGATAAAATAATAATTCCTGAAATCATGTCCGAAATCCAACGTAATCGTAACCGCAAATTAATTTTTCTACAAACCCGAGACAACGGACTTAATGAATCAATTAATGATTAATTAATAAATTATTTAATTATTAATTTCCAGTTCTAACGTTATCGTAAAAAATCCAGCAATCTCTCCAGAACAGTTTTACCCAAGAATTCCAGGATAAATTCACCAGAAAAATTTCTCTCCATGCACTTCCCAATCATCTAATTGTCGTCATCAAGTTTTGGGTCGCGTGCCACTCGGTACTTCCGCCTTGACTTGCAATAAACGACTGATGCCGTTGTTCTCGTCATTAAAGTCGATTCCACCGGTATTATAATAACTCGGTCTACTCTATTGTAAAAGCATCTGTCGGTGATACGAGTGAGCGTCAAATAAAAAATTGAAAATTCCTACAATCCATCTCATATGAATTTATCCCACAATAATGATCCCCTAATTCCCCATCTACAACCGCCCCTCCCCTCCCCTAATGTAATTACCGGAATAAAATCAAAATCAAATAAATTGTCCATCCGAATAATTTCAGTGAATTTTGTTAATTAATTATTATTAATCCTCAGATGTGGATATATAAATAATAATTCTAGTAAATTGAAACTTGTTGAGGAGAAATGACGAGAAATTACGAGATCCCCATGAATGATTCTAGTGTCTTGAACCTGCCAGTCAACCCCACAACTCTAATGACAGTGCCATCAGCTGGCACTCGTCCCTTCCCCAGAAGAAGTGCCACTTCCATTTAAACCCATCTCCCGCGCTTTCTGTCCACCTTCAGCATGTGCAGGTATGCGAAACGAGGGGTGGGAGGAGGTTGGGCATGATGCCCCGAAGAGGGATGGTAAAAAGGGTAGGGGAAAGAGAGCACGTCCAGACTAGCAGACCAATGGCACCAGGTGTACGTTATCTAGGGATGACTTCAAAAAAAAAATGAGAGAGAGAGAGGAAAAAAAAAAAGCGTGAGGTGGTACCATATGTTGATGGATTTCGAGGAGAAGAGCCGCCCCGGCACGCGCCACATTCAAACACGAGCCACAACCCAGTGAGGACGACTCCTATCAGCTCTACCTCGGGTATCATCCGACTGACTATCAAGATCGATTCAGTAAATTCAGAGGAATCGAGTGGTAAACCTCCAGGTGATGTGGACTGAAAATCCACGTCAAGAGCCAAATGATCTCAAAATCTGGGAGCAGCGAGTGAGATAATGGCATTGCTATCGAATATTCCCAGCATGTACCAGTCATCGTCCTCGGAGATGCTGATGCCGGGATACCCTGGAGCTAGAGGATACGAGCCCCTCTATCCATCACCCTACAATTCACCGGATTATGATCACATGTCGGGGACCTACAACGAGCACAATCATCAGGATCCCATGATGACACCCAGGAGGAACATCGAGTGCAATGACAGCTACAGCGGTGATAATTGTCAAGAGTACGTCGTAAACGATGGATATGAGAGAGAGCCCTATGGAATTCTCACACCAGTCACACCGCAGAGGTATGTAATCGGTTTTTAATTACCGATATTTCAATGATGGTGTTCAATCGATTGCAATGCGACATGAATATCTTTTTTTAATTTGAAGATTTACCTCACGTAGTTCCGTGGAGGAGAACTCTATGGATTATCAAGCCCCTGTTTATTGCTACGAGGGACAGGACCTGGGGTACACCCTAAAACACGAGAGGAGTCAAGAAGTTGTCGATGAATCCAGGAAAAATTATTGGGACACCCCTACACCGGTATTAATTCTTTAAATTAATCTTTACGATTCAACTGATATCGATTTCGATAAATTACCCAATTACAATTATTTCGATAATTGACTTTGAAAAATATTTTCACTCTCACGATAAAAAAAATTGAACAATACTATATTAAATAATAAAAATGTTCATCTTTTTTTTGAGGGAAACTAGAGTCTTATAGACCTGTTCTAGAAATTGGAGATAACCATCAGCAATTAATAGAAAATGTGATCAACAGGTACAGGATTCACCGACGTCAAGCCCTCGACGGGGCAGACGGCGATCCCGCGATGTCCCGCCATCACCAGGTGTTCTAAAACGTCGAAGACTAGCAGCAAATGCCCGAGAACGTAGACGAATGAATGGTTTGAACGATGCATTCGACAAACTGAGAGAAGTGGTACCAAGTCTCGGTGCTGATCACAAATTGAGTAAATTTGAGACCCTCCAGATGGCCCAGACCTACATCGCCGCCCTGTGCGATCTCCTAGAGCGACACGACAGCGAGAATTGACGACAGTAATTAAGATCCTTTAATCTATCGATAGATATATTTTTGCATGATTGCTTGTTGTTACACATTAATTATGGCATACTGAGACAGCTAAGAGACCAAAGATTCTGATTATTTTTCGAGATCTCTTTCAAATTTTGATAGACTCGATTTAACAATAATAGTTCGTAAGTTTTTCACAGTGCACTAATTAAAAAAATTCATGGAATTTTCCAAACGATTAAATCCACTCATTGGCCTTGAGATTTCGTGAATTCAATTCGAGATAAAATTTGATTGAAAAAGTGTCAAAAGTGCATGAAATTGTTTAGTATTTAGTATTTATCACTTGTTTGTTTGTTTTCTCTAGTCAAAGGCTATATTTAGGATAATAATTAAATTACTCAATGATCGAAGTAATTTGTAAATAAATCGACTGTGTAAATTAATAGATCTAGAATGGTACCGAAGTATTGTGAAATAATTGTGAGAATAAATTGATTTTGTCGACTCGTGAATTTTCAATCAAACTAAATCATAGACCCTGTCAATCCCACCGTTTCCTCTCGGCAAAATATCTACCCTCGTTTGCTTCCTTCCTTCCTCTGAAATTCAAAGAGATATCCATCGCCGAGGTGAGTTGGTAAGCCACGAGATCCGGCGTGAAAAACTCAAAACCACAGGGAACAATTCGAATTTCGAACAAAAAGAGAGAAAGTACTTCCATACATTCGAAATCCGCCGAGAAAATTCAACCGCATGACCCAATTGACTTTAAAATTTAACAATAAACAATTCCCATCTCTCAATTTTTTAATTTTACTCATGAATAATTTAATAATCAGGAATTCTTCGAATTTGAAAAATATTATAGTAAATCCAATGACAAAAATTATTAAAAAACTTGGCAATCCGATAAAAAAATCAGGGACTGTAAATTCCGATTTAAAAAATTAATGAATAATATAATAATCAGGAATTCTTTGAATTTGAAAAATATTATAGTAAATCCAATGACAAAAATTATAAAAAAAACTTGGCAATCCGATAAAAAAATCAGGGACTGTAAATTCCGATTAAAAAAATTGATGAATAATTTAATAATCAGGAATTCTTCGAATTTGAAAAATATTATCGTAAATCCAATGACAAAAATTATAAAAAAAACTTGGCAATCCGATAAAAAAATCAGGGACTGTAAATTCCGATTAAAAAAATTAATGAATAATTTAATAATCAGAAATTTTTGAAATTGAAAAAATAGGGTAAATATGGCTATAGGATTTTTATTTTTGAATGAAAAAATTGTGAATTCGGGAGATTGTCGTTTTTTAAAAAGGGAGAATTCATGAGGAGATATTATCGGAGTTATTCGGAGCTCGACGTTTCCCTCATCATTCAAAAATAAAAGGGTTTCGAAAAAAAAAGGGAAAAGAAAATGGGAAACAACGGTGACATGGCGTATTGACTGAGCAGTCAAGGGGTTTGACTGATCAGTCTTCCTCAAAAGAATCGAGCCGGGAAAATCGATTTCAGGCGTAATTTTGCTGGACCATGGAAAGATCCGCCCACTATATCACAAAATAAATTGGCAGTTCCCTGAAAATTAGTGGCTCACAATTTTGACTTTAAAAATCTTCCCAACTTCAGATTAACCCCAAAAATTCAATTTCTTCAATTTCCCATTCCCAAAAAGAGTGATAAATTTTTGTAATAATTCTGGTGATGAATTTTATCAATAAATCGATAAATCATCGAAGAAACCAGCGGCGATGACGCGCCAAAAACGAGAAAATTCTGTTTTCTCCCCGATTTTTTCCGCCTGAGGATAAAAAATTCTCGCAGTAGCTCCAGGGAAAGGGTTATCTCGCTGCCCTTATGGTGTGAGGAAAGGGTAAATATTTTTAATTTTTTCGCGGCCACCGGACACCGCAGAGTCATTCACTGATTTATCTCGGCTTTTCTTCAGAGAGAAATTTCCACGAGTCGTCTAGCCACCGAACGAAAAAAAAAAAATCGAAGATCCATCGGCTTCCGATCGATTACGATCTTCGGAAGCAAAAGATCTTTAAGTTCAGTCATAACAGGAGACTTTCATTATCTCGGGTCGTCAATTTGTCGTTTTTGTCAGCAGGTAGCCAACAAGATCATTTCCCCCAAAAATTTTCAAAGAATCTCTCAAGATTTTCCGCTATCCCTGAAATTTCCTGAAATAATTTTCCCAAAAGCGAAAACCTTATTCACCATCTCAAAAATACCTAATGCGAACTAACAATTTAAAATATCATTGCCACCCGATTGCAATGCCGAGTAAACTTTTGAAAAAATTAAATAAAAAAGAGATTGTGGCACGTGCCCATATGGAAAGGGCGTAAAAGCAGGTGAACCGATACGAATTGATATCGACAAGTGCCGCCCAATCGCATTCCCTCATTGAACCCGAAATAATGACACACATGATGAAAAACCACAATAAAAGATCATGCAACATGGGGTGGGCATTGTGCCCTGGAGCCAGATGACGTCAATTTCCCCAATAAAAAAAAAATACAACCAAAGATGAATGCAGAGGAGTAACGAAGGTATCAACGTACCAACTCTGTATTATTTCATGCAGCATTAAAACCCAATTTTTTACCCATTACCCGATGAAAAAAAAGGCCCAACACGCTACGCATCGCTAGAACGGGACGAGCAACCGAAGCAACAGATGACACGACCCATTCCGACTTTCTATCTCTATCCTTTCCCCCTTTTTTCACTTTATTTTTTCCTCGTTTTTCTTTCCCCTGTGGGAGATGGGCACGATACCTTGTATTAAGGGGCGTTGCGACTCGTGCCATGTGGCACAATCCAGTGGAATTGAATACTGGGGTAGGTGTGTATTTCTATTCAACTCCCCGTCCACTTATTATACCGATACAACAAATTTCCACACGTGGGTCATTGAGATACTCAATTTCGAGGGGTTGAAAAGATTCAGGGCGCCTCACAGAAATTTTAAAAAACCCCCAAAACGCACTGGAAATTTTTCCATTCTCGAAATCTTCACCAAATATATTCCACTCATCATTCCACCTCGTGAATATATTCCATTAATTATAATATTGATAATATAATTAATATATCCATGAAATTATGAAAAAAAAAAATGATCCATTGAATTAAATGGATTTATTTCCCCAATATTAATAACTTTTAATCCAAAATAAAAGGTTTTATTTTTGTCGAGTGAAAAAATATAATTGTTGAAGATTTTATGACTCGTCACGGTCTGCGTACCGAGTGCCGGTATTTTTTTTCGGCGGGAGATGTTGAAGATACAAGAGTTGGGGTTCGTGGACAATTCCAACGGTCAAAATGTAAATCCACCTCTCCCCCCGCTAGTCTAATAAACCCGATGGATTAAAGAACAACTCGCCATTAAATAATTCATGATTTCACAGCAACGAGCGCACACTCCCATGAATTATTGTCGAGGTTATCTCAATTTTCTCGATAGTACCTGAAGGTACTTGACACGCTGTATGGTACATCAAACTCTTAGCATGAAATATATAAATGACTGAATGCACGCTGTGCACTGACAGTTACTTGAGATAAGACCGTTATTGCACTCAGTGCCCAATGGCTTTTGAATTATTAAAGTTTCCGTCAAACCAGGGAAATTAATCATGCGTATTTGTCTGAATTTTCCTTGTTTTTTTCCTCATCAAAAGTCCAAAATAATTTCCCGAAAAAAAGCTAAAAAAAATTCACTTATCGATTTTCAATCATTACGAATAATTATAAGTACATGTTAACTAGAGATAAAATTACGAATAGCGTGCATTAAAGTATTTTTTAAAGCAGTTATGGTGCCCTAACAATTGTGATGTACTGTCGCGTGCCGTCTCGCTCCCGTGGATCTCCAACGATTCAACACATGACATGAACAGAAAACATGGAGAAATAACCCGATGCTTTTCCCTCATCGGCGTAAAACCCCCGACCCGGGTAATTTGTATCTGTTGGCCACGCGACTGCCACGCGAAAGCAATTTCAAACTCCAATGACCGACAAATAAAATGGAATTTCAATCTACAATTTATGTATTTACGCATCGGTTTTTAATTTAAGGACTTTCCTCACGTACCCCAGAGGTAAAAAGTTGAGGATTCCAGTTGGGGGGAAGATCCCAACGAGCAAACGGCTACCTGGCGGCATCACCAGACTGGTGTTATTGGTGATGATCCCTGGAGAAAGGTCTTTTCGGCAGTCATTGACGAGAGAATATCGACACGACCAATATCCCCCTCCCCTCCATAAATTCCGACTTCTGCTAATGGAAATTTCTTGTTCAGCCGATACAATTAACGCCTTCAAATCTACTTTCTTGTATTTACGCATTGCAATGTCTCCATTTTTATTAAAATCCTCGAAAATTCAGTCGCTTGTTCATTTAAAAAAATCATCATTAACGTATCCCCTACATTTTTATTTTTCCCGCATAATTAATTATTTAATTATCCATTCCCGGGTAAGAAAAAATTATAATCGGAATATTTTTTCCAAATTTTTAAAAAATTTCTGATTATTAACTTTCCAGATTTTTTTTTTGAACCAGAAAAAAAATCGGAAAACCAAACAATTTTATTTTTGGGAAAAGTTTTGAAAAATTTTTTAAGTAAGAAAACAACGGTATAATTTAAAAAAATTATATTCGCAAAAATTTCTAGAGAATTATAAAAAAAAAATTACGGAAACAAATTTTTGAAAAATTTCTCAAAACATTTCCCAAACATACAATTGTTTTGTTTCCGATTATTTTTTTGTTTCAACAAAAAAATGTTCTGAAAAGTTTTCCAAAAATTTTTTGAAAATTTGAAAGTAATATTCCGATTACAATTTTTTTTACCCAGCTTTTTAATAAATTGAAAATTCGATTTTGTATTGCTACAAAAATCCCATATAAAATTTTTTTAACTTAGAAATATTGCAACGCAAAAATCAATTACAAGAGAATCTAAAAACAATTTCCCAAAAGCGTGTATTTTTCATTTTCGAAAACCCCCCGCCAAATTCTCCCCTCATCACATGATTAGCGGCGCTTAGCACCGGATGACTCGATAATAAAAATAGTATTGACCCATGACTAATGCCTAGTAAATTGGTTCCCCCCAGAGATATCGATAACCCCCAAATCCCCCGATTTCAATTATCAGCAATTGCCCCCAAATCCTCGATTTTCCCATAAAAAATTCCAAATAAAAAAGTTCAATTAACGCATACCGTCCGTCACGGTCTCCTGAACACGCCCTAATCACTCCAATTAATCAGTCAGTTGTCTTCACACATAGCTGGATCCACCTTGCCACCACCAACCCAGAAGACACCCCACCCAAAACCATCTACATATTCCCATCACAATCCAAGACAACAACAACGGGGACCGGTTGCAAGGGCACGTGCCCCGAAGCCGCAGAAAACTCCATCCACCGAGAATTTAATGACGATCATCAAATGCCCTCCGTGATAAATATAATCCCTGGCACTCACATTATTTAACCCCCGGAAAATACCGCATTTTCAAGCACCAGCTATTTTCCACGGCAATCCACATGACCTTCAATTAACCTTGAGTACGTGATAAATAATTATGAGTAACACCCATCAACTCCGGGGGATTATCATTCACCGAAGAGTCTACTCATCCTTTTTTTTTATTTTTCAATACAACATGTTCGATGATGATTCCGATGACGAGGCAGGTGCGATGGAAAAACGAGCTGGTGGTACTCTCAATGACACATGCGGCATCATTTCATGATGAAAAAAAATGCACATTGTTAGCGTTAATGTGGGGTAAAACTTGAGATACGTCACAGTGTCTCATTGCGACTGCCTGAATGCCGCGGGTTAACGATTCAACCGTCGAGCCTCGTCATCCTTGCAAACTATGTGTCTATCCTCGAGATAATAGGTTTATCTCGGATATTGATTCAAATTGTCGTGATAGGTTCAAACGAGGATGATTCATCCCTCATTATTCCAATTTTCCACTGATCAAGACGATCGAGGAATATTACCACAATTAAAATCGATACCGATCTTCCAACTTCTACCGATTTAAACAATTTAATTAATTAAAATATTGAATCAGTACAAAAAAAAATTATTTCAAGTCACAACTCGTACGGATAATGATTACCAATAATTCAAATTTTAATGAAAATTATTGAAATTGTTACGCTGCAGTGAAATCTATCGAAATATATTTCGGTCTCATTAATCTCGACCTCAAGGTGTAAACTCTCGAAACGAGGAGACACGCCTCCACCTGAAAGGTGAGAAAAACGTTTCAAATCGGCTAGAAAACCGCTAAAGCTAAACTGTTTTTCCCCGCAAATATGCGGCTTTAGGGTAGATCCCGGACTGCAACCTGTAATTAAAGCACCTTGGGTGTGACTGCAATAGACCAAGCAATAAATTTACCCCTCATCCGTCGAATCCCCCGGACCAATTGATCTCTGTCAAGTTACAAATTTGATTTAGCGAATGATGAAAACAAAAGCGTGTGCCAGAAGACCGAGAAAAAAAAAGAGAAACCCACCGCTCAAATAAAAAAAAAAAACCAGTTTACCCCCAATTCTCTCTCATTAAATTTGAAAATTCGAATAACCCAGTGTAAAAATGTAATTACAACCCAATTACAACCCAATTGTCCAACGTATAATAATCAATTTGCCGTCCCCCTGTAATCGCCGATGATGAATTGATGATCAACAATGCCCGAGATAATTCCAATGATGAGGACAATCTATAAATATCTCCATCATCCATTCAATTCCCTGATAATCAACAAAATTACACCTTCCCGCGCATGTTTATACCGTGCAGTGGTAAAGGCGTGAGGACTGTCAGCTCATTTGCTGTGTATTAGTAAAAGGATAATGAGATCTGGCCTTTGGCTTGTACCAAGGCGCCGCTGGGCCTCAGTCCTCCCCCGTCGAAAATAAAAAAAAATGTGAAAATCGACACCGAAAAAAAAAAAAGCGAGAGAAGACAAGGGGTCACGCCCTCGGCTCCACTTTCCGAAAGACAGAAAGAATTTTCCCGGTTATTTTTCCCCAGAAAGGGGCCGACAATATTTTGCGACTTGAAGCCGCCGACTCTAGTAATCAAATGATTGTCTTGTAAAAGGTGTAACGAAGCTTGACTGATTTGGTAACCCTTCGAGCTGAAAAATCACATGACGAGTTAAAATTCCCAATCGAAACACGGAGAATCCAGATAATCCTCCACCGCACGCCCATCTAAACATAAAAAAAAGGGAGAACCACCAAAAATATGAGAACTCTCGTAAAATCATTTGGCCATCGTAAAACAGTCTAATTTGTCGCCAGGATCCGACCCCAAGGCGTTTAAAATGTCGTAAAGTACCACGAGATGAGAAAAAAAAAAAGCATGAAACGATAGAAATACTCCATTCAGGTTTAGCTTGGGTCCCAATAAAAAAGAGATGATGACATTCATTATTTAGAGTCGATGCTGTTTGCAGATCGTAAACTAGTGGCACAAATCACTGGTCAACTGTCCGCATGAATTATTGATACCCCGAGGAAGATCCGAATCCATTGATCGCCGATTGATCCAATTAATACGATATCAAATAAAGCATTGAGTACAAACTTCTAAATTCATCATACATTCCATCTGATTATAATACCAACAATTATGAAAGCTCCAAACGAGAGACAAAACCCGAGGATTCTCAAGTATTGCCTACACCCAAGTATCATCCTAGATAAATCAAGAGTAATCGGACAGTCGAAGTTTTTGCGTTGCTTGCCGATTTATCAAGTCCCCAGAACGAGAAGAATGAAGACGAGAGACGAGACAGTAAAAACAACCATATGCAAATATTATATTATATACCAGGACGAACCGAGAAGTCATAAATATCATCACGAACTCGATCTTCATTAACGATGCGTATTTGACCAGTCGAAGTTGAAAAAAAGAGCGAATTGATCAGCCAATTCCCCTCCAATGACAATTAAAATCAGGATCAATCGATACTGCTGATAAGATGATGATGAGATGATGATGAGAGGATGATAAGACAATCGTCACCCGATCAAGCCACAACCACCACCTGAATCCCAGACACATTACAAACAAGCTTCCACGCACGTAGAATCAGCCCCCAGCGAAGCCATCAATTCTCCCTGTGGATCCGGTGAAAGAGGTGAAAGACAAAGAGGAAAAGCATAAAAAGGTAATAAAAGAGACGGAATGAAAAAATAAAAGAAAATGATCGAGATGAGAGAGAAGAGAGGGGGCGTGTCTGGTTGCGGTCCCCACAAAGAAGCACCCGCGTCGGGGCCCGCAAGGAGAACAAGTAGGGGAAGACACGAGGCCCATCGGCTTTTCACCCCACTATTTCGCATTGAGGCCCAGCCTCCCCACCACCACAATTTCTCGAGAAAACAGCGTGGTCCATCCACGAGATACTTGCAAGACACTCGCCAGTTTACGCAACGACTCACTCGTATCAACAACAACCAGTGACCCACCAGGAGTCCAAGTTTAATCAATATAACGACTGAGAATCGAGAGCAATCCTGGTTCATCAATAGTTCATGATAGATCAAAGTTCGGGAATAAATAAGTGACAGATATGACGGGCTACGTGTGTTTACCCCAGCAGTACGATATCCTGGACTCGGAGGGTTACGGTTCAGCAAGCAGTCCCGAGTCAAATCCACGATATTGGCAGAGCCAGGAGTCCTATCCCCAACCCCCAAGATCAAGGGGCAGCAGTTGCGGAAGTGTCAGCTCGATTGACAGCCACACTGCCCACGACTATCGAAATCTTGATACAGCGACAGCATCTGGCACTGTCATCTCGTCAATGACACCAAGCACCTTCAACTTCGCTGAGTTCTACGAGGGATACAATCGCGAGGCAACCAAGTGCCACGAAGTCGATGAGCGATTGAACTTTCGAACAATCTTCGATGACACTTACGACAACGACTACAACAGCGTCAAGACCGTTCACTACAATCAGAAGAGCATCAGTGATGCTCAGGTAGCCGATGGACTTGTCAAAGGACCCATGTACCAGGAGGACAACAAGATGGAGGCTATCAGTGGTTTCAAGACGGACTCGACTTATCTCGGTGGCACATACGATCCGAGAAGTGACATAGACATGATGAGGAACAGATGCAACGGTCACATGCAGATGAGGTACAGACGAGAGATGGAGGACACCATGAAGGACACATCGTATGAGATCCAGAAGACCAAGGACACCGTTCAGAAAATCAAGACACAAGCACCTGGGGTGGAAGTGATGAAGAAGAGACGACTGGCTGCCAATGCCAGGGAGAGGCGACGCATGAACAGTCTGAATGATGCCTTTGACAGGCTCAGAGACGTTGTACCAAGTCTAGGCAATGACCGAAAACTCAGCAAATTCGAGACCCTGCAGATGGCCCAAACCTACATAGCAGCCCTCTACGAGCTACTTCAACGAGAATGATGACACATCGTTCAATCATTGTGATATCGATCTGATTGTTGATTGCAAGGTAGAAAAGTTCATGTAAATATCTCAATAGAATTAAATTTTCTGATTGTTCATGTACATAATAAATTTCTCTAACTTATTAACGACTCTAGCAGCAGTTAACTTTGTAAATAAGATTTTTCGTTATATATCTTTAAGAACGATAAACCTGTTCGCCATAAGAATGCACCTGAATGATAATCATTTTCTGAATTGAATGCAAATGCAACTAGTGAAAAAGGAGAAAATGACTGAAAAAAAAAAGGACAAAACGTAAATACCGTGGACTCGAGTCCCACATTCACCTCGCAGTCAATCACAATTAAATACAATTTTGTGCGCGAGGTAAGATGCGAGTGTGTAGATGGTTGCAAAAAGAGAGCAAATTGAAATCTTTCTAGCTGACGGAATGATAGATGGCTGAGGATTTTCAACCCCCAGTGGTTCCATCATCTCGAACGTTTGTTTTTAATAAACGACGGCTTGAAATTTTCCATTTGCCATCACAAGTTATGAATTATCCCAAAAGGATCTGTTTTTTTAATAATTAAAAATTTCCATAAGGAATACGAATGGTGGTAAGATATTTTGTCAATGTTCAGAAAATTTAAGTGAAAAAAAAAAATTGTAACATGTGCGGGCGCCAATAAGAATCAGAGGTGCACATCACGAGTCACTAATCGTTCTCAGTGGTAACATCTCCATTTGCTAACTCATGGTTGTGTATGTGTTGAGGGCCCCCAGGACAAACTGGACAGGCTTATGTTTTATTGTATCAACGTCATTCGTCTTAACTTACACCCTGACGAAAGCGTAACATGTTGGCTCTCACGTCGCGCCGCTATATCCAATCGTTGAATATTTCGCACCCGTGACCGCACACTTTTTTATCACTCCCCAGTGAAGAATAAAAAAAAACATTATTAAACAATTGCCTTAGTGTAACTGTGACATTATATATTAAGATTATTCGTCGAGACCAAATGTATTTAAGTGCGAATGTGCAATGTTAATGAAAAATGAAATAAAAGACGATGAAAAAAAGTAAAAAAAATTCTATCTCATTCAGAAAATAAAAAATCACCCCTCCATGCTAATCCCAATCCGCTCAATCATTCCTTCAGACCAGAAGAAATGATTGGAGAATCACCATATCATGTTATTAAATTTGAATATAAAAAAATCTCTGACGGATACTCAAAACATCAGTCGGCAATTATCGAAATTACTCTGATTCCAGGGAATGAAAAAAAAAAAAAACCTGACGCGAATAAAATTCCCGACATTTTTGGAAATTCGATATATCAAACCAATTTTTTTTTTATCTATCGGGATATCAGGGGTTCCCTAAAAATTTATGATAAAAAAAAATATTGAGAAGGTGAAAAATATAATAGTAATAATTAAAGGTCAACGCTGAAACTATTGACGAGGGGACGTAGAGTCACATCCAATTATCCGAGCTTAAGAAATGGCGCGAGCATGGTAATTGGTATCTTTCACGAGCTCTCACGAGGAGCATAAGGTAAATCGATCTTCCTGTGAGATGGTACGTTGGACCCATGGGTTTGATAGAATGCCGGATAGCGGCTTTTGCACAAAGACCTCTTCGATTGTGTGCACCCAGCGTTCACTGGGAGTTCTACCAGTCTTGGACAAATTGATACCAGGTAACGCACTTGCTACCACTGGATAACCCTTGAATATTATCTCAGGTCGAGCAAGTGACAATTTCTCTAACCCCCTGCACCCTCCCCATTTTACTCTCTCAAACACAAAACGAAAAATGAAAAGATAAAAAAATAAAATGAATTAATAAAATTCAATAATAAAAAAATTCAAACAGACGAATAATTATGGGAAAGCGATCACGCGGTAAATCTGAGGAGAATAATGCCTTCAACGACTGCTGAAGCAAATTAAAATAAATAAAGAACATCTAGTGTATCTACCCTGCAAAATCCGAGGATGACGTAGTTTTCAACCCTGACTCAACTGATTTTCCCCATAAAATCCGCTACTCTAACGGTTGACGTTAGCAAACACGTGAAAAATATAAGAATAAATAGCCCGCGATACGGATATCTCATCACCGCGTAACCAAAGAAAGATTATAATCTCCGGAAGTCCCGACTCATCATATCCCAGTGAATTTCCCCACCACTCTCATTGTCCGGTTATTCTCCACCACCAGGAGAATGCACCATAGATTACCGAAGTAGACGTCTAACTCACCATGAACATTATTTCTCGGGCCACCAACAATTGTCATAATCACCAAGATAATGGTAATTGCGTCTAATGCACTGGCCAACGATTATTTGTATCTCGCCCAGGTGAATAACATTGTCGCAACACCCAACGATTTACCACCCATGGTCTCTCTGATGAGACATCAACAGCTAGAGCTACAACTTAAATATATATCCCCCCACTGCCCCCCTCCCCCCTAAATTACCCGTGTTTTATTATCACCGACAAATAATCACAATCATCTCGTCATAAACTACCAATCGCTACCGATTTATTATTTTATTCCATCGTAAAGACAACAATAAAAACGACTATTTTTTTTATTAAACAATGGACTGAAATTCCTACCACCGATTTGATCAGACGGTATTTGGAAAATATTTTGATATACCGGGGAAAAAAAATAGTAATCGGAATATTTTTTCCAAATTTTCAAAAAATTTCTGGAAAACTTTTCAGAATTTTTTTTTTAATCGAGAAACAAAGAATTGTATTTTTGAAAATTTTTTCAAAACCTTTTCCAAAAATAAAATTGTTTTGTTATCCGAATTTTTGTTGTTTCACAAAAAAAAATTCTGGAAAGTTTTCCAGAAATCTTTGGAAGATTAAAAAAAAATATTCCGGATATTATTTTTTCCGGGGAAAGTACTCGATGATATATGATCTATAATATTAATTTCCTGGTTAATTTATAATGAGTATGAAATTTTGCAGAGAATGAAAATTTCTCTGGACTTGTCCTACCCGATGGTAACAACATGACAACAATTTTTATTTAATCCAGTGTCTGGACATTCCAGTGAGATTGCCACCGATTTAACGGTACGGTGGGAAGCAAATATTGTAAAGTACCAGCAAATGGTACTTATTCGACAGAAAGTGGCACTAAACACCGATAGAATTGAGTGCACGCGTGCAACACGAGTGACTATAATATAGTCCACACAAACGAATCATCAGAGATGACAAGCAAAAGTGCCAACCGATTTATTCCGCGCTGTCATCCGCAAGGAAACGCTGAATATTATTTTTATCAAAAACCGTTGAAATCACCAGAAACGAGTGTTAATTTGTCTCGATTTTATTCGCCATTCTTACCGCGTCATAATTACGAAATCGTCCCACTTTCGACAGCTCAAGAAAAAAAAAGCCATCCTCCTCCATACCCTCTAAAAAATCACCTAATGATAATTAGAGAGAAGTCGGTGATAAATATAACGACCAGATGGCACGATCATTAATATTTCTCTGAATTGGTATCGGTAATAATCAATCGGCGGGTGTTCAACCATCGGCCAATTTCAGAAGATCTAATATGTATCGAATTCTGATCAGAGGAGCCACTAGAATAATTACAGGAGTCCGATGACTGCCGAAGGCTGACTCAAATCACTGATTCTATGATACGAGAACGAGAGAAGATATCGACTGATCGAATATTCAAAGAATCGCTGATATTTCTCGATGAATTATCAATTTTCACTGGAAAAATATCAATAATTCATTCAGGGATGGAGTTATAATTGAAATAATTATCACAAATTGATTGACTTTACGAAAATACATCGGTATTAGTCTCCCTTCAATTTAATTAGCCCTCGGTTGACTGTTTCGAAATAATAAATCATCGGAATACAATTGAGAATCGCTCGAGGGTGCATTATACGATCCCCTCGTTTTAGTAACGAACCCATCGATTTATCGAGTACAAATTGTTCTATTCCACCAGATTAAAATAATCCGTTAAATTCAGAAGAATTGATTATTCAATTACATTCATAAATCCCCCCATCACCCCAAAAATAACAACAACAATTTAACAATAAAAATTAATATTTTCCCCCAATCTATTTTGTCCACTGAATAAAATAAACCAAAAATGAAATTTTCCGAAAAATGAATTCATGAATGTAATTTTGAAATCGCGAAAAAAAATCCATTTCCCGTAAATCAGCACGTTGTTTCCGGGCGAATAAATTAAAATGAGGAAGTGCAAATAAAATAATCGATGAAAAATCCCGAGGCCAAGAGAAAGAGATAAATGAAAAAAAAAAACCAAAAAATAAAGGTAAAAGAGTAGATGAAAAAATGGAATCGATAAGTGGTCTGAAGCGCGGATAAGGGTCGAGATCGCGGGGCGTAACCGAGGAATCAAACGAGTCAATAACTCGTCCTCGATCTTCCCCCAACAATGATAAATAACCCTCGGTAAATGTGGGTGCAGGGTAAACACATACACCTGGGCGGTGTGGGCGTACGATGACGTCTTCATGAAACCTTTATATTTCTCACTTGTTACAGTTACTCGGGGAGTTATTTTTCCCTATACCCCCCTCCCCCCTTTCCCTCCCACCCCGATCATTGTCTCGGGAAACACAATAAAACGACAGATGACTCGACCCACCGTGTGGTACACCAACAAATGCCGATAAAACTGTACATTTAAACGTAAAATTATAAAAAAAAATCGTCAAAAAATTAAAAGTACGAAAATGTCCGTTATTTTCTCTTCTTCCTCATCCATCTCCTCCGATAATTCAATTTAATCACATGATTATTAATTTTTCATAATGAAAAATCAACAGACATTCTGATTTTATTATTATTATTAATTAATCTGAATGAAATTCGAACGAGTGATTTATTTTTTTGATAAATGGGATTAAAATGGAATTTCGAATGAATTCTTTACAACTCGGAAATATTTGAAAAACTCAATTGAATTCACGAAATTAATAAAAATGAGAAAAATGAGAGAAGAAAAAGAAAAATGGAGCATGTGAAAAGAGAAGACACAGCGTCTGTTATTTTCTCCTCTCGCCCCCCATCAATTTCTTTCAGTTCATTTACAGGGGCCCACTGCGAATGTGGCATCGGGCCCCATGGGCCTCTCGTGAGGCACGAGACAATAATCTCGAGATGGACCCCCGGGGGCCCCCCTTTTACTAGTTTCTCAGTGTGTGCGGGCGCGAGCGCACGCTTCGAAAAATCTCTGTTTTTGTTAAATTTTTATTTTGCCTCCAAAATTTCATTTTCACCGTCGATGCCAAGCCGTCATTGCCCGAAAAAAAAAATACCTAAATTTCTCCCTCAAGGAGTCTATCCGAAAGGATTCTGTCCGTTTTGTTTTTAAAAAATCGCGTGCACAACAAGTGGAATAGAAAATGCCGGGAGGTAACGCCTCCAGTTATGCTAATTTTATTCTAGTCTAGTCGGATTCGCTTGATCACCAGAAAATAGTTGTGCACATTTCACACATGTAACTATTGGTTTTTAACATTTTCCTGGGATTTTTAAAATTCCGGGAATTCGC